TTTTTTTTGTTTTTTTTTGTTTTTTTTTTCGTTTTTTTTTCGCATTCTTTTATACGGGCTATACGATGTTCGAAGGGAGTGTATAATTTGATTATTTTCAGTGAATTTACGTCCTTTCGTCTCATTTGGTCGCATATACGATTTTATCGCTTAATTAATTTCAGTGTCATTGAGAATGACACCTTGGTTTTATTTTATTTTATTATTTCTTTTTGTTCTTTTTTTTCTTTTGTACTGCCGTAAATCCGCTATTTTTGTTTTGTTTCATTTTCTTTTACTTTTGGGAAGACTTATTCATGGCTGACAATCTTATGACTCCCAATTTCCCTTTCAAAGATGTATGTACATATAGAATACATACGATGTATTCGAGAAAGATTTAATGATCCATTCTCTCTATGTGAAAAATATCAGATCCTAGTTTCGATCAGTGTGTCTCTCATTATCCTTTCTAATTTTCCTTCTCACTATTAAGATCATATCGGTATATACAGATTGGCACTGTTCTGCTCGGAATATGTTATTACCCATTTGAAAAGCCGTATTAGTTCCGATACGTAGTACAAGAGCATGCAGTGTAGATTTTTTAATACGACGAATTAGAATAAAGTATCTCTTATTTCGTAAACGGAGACTTCGGTTAACACTATCGTACAAAGTGTTTCATTTAAAGTCATGTACATTACGAGATAATGGAATCACTTCGACGATTGAAATCTAATCATTGAGAAATCAAAGTTATATATATATATATATATATATATATATATATATATATACTTCTTCCTTTCTCTCCATTTATCTTTCGTTTTATTTTTTTTCTGTTTCCTCTTTCCCTCCTTACTTAATTACGTTCCTCTTTCTGGTTCGTCGAAGTTTCCAAAATATTTATTTTACGATAAATCTTTGCTTTAAATCGATCACTTTGTACGCATGTACATACATGCATATGATCGCTTAAATAAGTATATACAAATGCCTAAGAAAAGTATCCGACATAATCTTATCCCATACACGTTTCTACGCTTTCTCTTTTTCCTTTCTCTTTTCTTTGATTTAATTTTATTCATATACCATAGGTTGAACACAATGATCGAAAATTTCAATCACAATAGACTTGTAAACTTATTAATGGCGTTACCATTTGATCGCTACTTCGTAATATCAGTGGCTAGTTAATTTTATAATTACTAAATGTCCGAAGGGCGAATGAAAATAAATTTTTCGTATTCGCCGCGTTTCGGGACGTTTTCTCGTGTGTTACACGCTGTTGAATCGTCTATATTTAACAACGTTTACAAATTTCGATCGATCTACTCCTTTCAAAAGTTTTCTTATCTAAATTGCTACATACAATATATACGTGCGCGTCTGGGTTGGAATAAAAAAAAAAAAAAACAAAAAATAAATAAACAAAGAAAAGAAAAACAACAATTAGTTTTGTCTTTGCGGAAGGAAGAAACACGAGATATGCGAGTGCGATTGAGTGAGTCGAATTCTATACAATAAGAGAAATATAGTATCTTTTTGATCGGAAGAAAGATTAAAAAAAAAAAAAAAAAAAAGAAAAAAAAAAGAAATAAAAACAACAACAACAATAACAAAAGAAGAATGAGAAAAAAAAGAAAACAGAAGTATTAACTGTGCGTTGCATGTTCACTGTCCGTAAAAATTAGAGATAGTTTGTTAATAATACGATCGATTTTTAATCAACGCATCTTTATAAAACATAAAATGAAATGTACTTTCCTCTCTCTCTTTCTTTCTCTCTCTCTCCCTCCCTCTCTCCCTCCCTCTCTTTCTCTCTCTCTCTCTCTCTCTATCTCTATCTCTATCTCTATCTCTATCTCTCTTTTTCTCTATTCGACTTCGTTCCATTTGAACGTGAGGTAGAGTGATTCGGGAAACAGGAAAAAGTGAAATACCGTCGGTAAATAATGGAGTTTAGCAGAGAAGTCTTTGGCAGTAAAGATTTTGTTCCAATATGAAGAAATTCTGGCGAATTATTCGCCTGGTCGCTGTGTTCTTTTTTCAAGCGCGATGTCTTACTTTGCACCTGGTATTTTTCCTAAAACCTAAAGGAAAATAAATAAATGATAAGGAGAATAGATAATATTATGTAAACGTTAGCTTAAATTTACATGTACAATGAATTTTTTACCTTTGATAGATCAACACCTGTCAATGCTTGAACCGCTGGAGGTACCTGACCCACTAAACGTGTGATTTCATTGCTCGTCGTATCACTTCCACTTAACAGAACTATCTCTTCTATTCTTGCTAATGGTGCTGCAATTTCGGCAGCGATCTATAAATAGGAAAAAGAAAAAATTAGAAAAAATTCATGTAATTGTATTGAAGTAAATTATACGTAGGATTACTTCATTTGACAAAATCTAATACGACCTTCCGAAAATCGGTCAATGAGAAATAAATTTTTGAAAATTTGCAAAACTTTTTCAAAAGATTATCGCCGGACAGTATAAAATACTTTACAAGAAATATTCAACGATTCATGAATTGAAATTTTGAAGTAACATATACAAGAAAGAAAAAACAAAAAAATAAAAAAGAAACATAAAGAAAAGAATGACAAAAATTTCTACAAAAGTTTATAGAACGGAAGTCGAGTTTTAACGTACATATATGATGTACATATATAAGATTTGTTTCTTTACCTTCGGCAGGGCGTTCAAAGCGATATTGAGTATCGCCGCCTCGCCATATTTCTTGTAAATTGCAGCCTTCATCCGCATACGTTCAGCTTCTGATATTCCAACGGCTTCCAAAGCTTGAGCTTCGGCTTCTCCGATTAATCGAATCCTCTCGGCCTCGGCTTTAGCTGCGCTTACTGTTTGCGTTCTGTTCATTTAAAGATATATTATACGTGATATATTAGAATATACATGTTTATGTACGTGCAGGTAATTATGATTAAGTGGACTAAGTTATATATTTTTCTTATTGAAAGTTATTTTATAAATTTCATTCACTTTATATAAAAATATAAAACTTTGAATTTGTGTCTAATAAAATATATTTTTTCATTATGTAAGAAAATATTTTTCACAGTATTTTGATGTTATAATTTTATGATAAATTTTGTATGTAATAATGAATCTTTACGAGTATAGTGTAAAAACATGTGTTATTTTTATATACTTCATATGAATTAGATTATTTTCAATATTATTCAATAATCTTGAAAATGATCTACAGCGAAAAATATTTTAGTTTTATTCAAAAAAGGCAATCATAAACAACGTTACTTATTTATTAATTTTCTAATTATAATCATGTTAAATTAAGTTAGATTAATATTAGATATTTTTTCTTTTTCTTCTTCTTCTTCAATAAAGGTATTTTATTTCTGTGATGTTTTGAGAGTATGAAAATATTGATAATAAATTGACAAAACGTACGATAACGTTTGTTAACGGTAACGATATCCATTATATCCTCTTTTTTTTGTAAGTACGGATAATTGCATAGTGGTTATATTTCCACAAAAAAAAAAAAAAAAAAAAAAAAAAAAAAAAAAAAAATAAAAGAAGTATACTAAAAAGTATGTGACTCAGTTCAATATCAAAATTGTTTCAATGACCAATTTTGCAAAGTTAATTAATGATACATTTTTAATATTTTTTATTTTTTTTTTTTTATTTTAAGTTACTCTACGTTATCAAGATATAAATAATTGTAATATAAAATAAATCATAAAATAATATTTTTTCAATTTTTTTGATTTAATCCGCTGCGATAATAATCATTACATATAATCCTTTATGAATTCTTAAAATGTTACAAAGAATAATTTTAACTTTTTCATGTACATATATGAATTTTATTTTTTTTATGCACTAAATTATATACGCAAACGATAATTTTGCGCTTTTAAATTGTTTTCAGATAAAAGAAAATAGAAAAAATGTTAAGTATGTTTCACCTTTTTCCTTCGGCCACTTTTCCAATTTTATAATGTTCTGCCTCGGCTGGTAATCGCACAGTACTTTGAAGTTCGTGTTCCTTTCGACGTACCTCCTGTTCCTCTACTTCGATCTGTTTACGCCTCTCGACGATTTCTATCTGTATCTCTTCATTCCGTATCCGTTGCCTTATTTTCGCGGCTTGTAGTTCGTAAGCGAGCTGGGCTTCGGCTTTCTACAGAAGTGTAAAACAGTAAAGAGAAATAAATAGAAAAAAAAGAAAAAAAAAAAAAAAAAGGGAAGAAAGAAAAAGTGATTTATAGGTACGTATTAATAGGTTTTAAAAGTGATTACGCATGGTTTTACTTACAGCAGTATTGACCTCCTGATCGAAATTAGCCTTTTGCAATTGGAAGAGCCTCGCGTTATCTTCGATCTTCGTGTCGGTGTTGTACTTAATGTCCATTGCCGCTTTCTCGCACTCGGCTTCCTGCGAACAAGTAAATTTTACGATCTTTATTGCTTAAGCATATTTACCAATTCGTTGAATAATGGATGCATCGAAGCGAGCATATATTTTGAAAAGCAAAACTTTTTCTTCTGATAAAAAGAGTTGTGTTAAAAGGAATAAATAATATTGATGGAGTTGGATGAATATTCTCTCTCTCTCTCTCTCTCTCTCTCTCTCTCTCTTTCTCTCTCTCTCTCTCTCTCTCTCTCTCTCTTTCATTCTAAATTAAAATAAAAAATAAAAACAAAAGAAATAAAAGAAACATACGCGTATGCCAGCATCACGATTGGCCTCAGCGACACCAACATCGGCATCGCGTTTAACTGCTGCGGTTTGAGCTTTTCCGAGTGACGCCAAATATTGAACGTCATCGTAAACGTCCTTTATAGTGAACGAGAGGATCTCTATGCCCATACGGCCGACATCAGGTGCTGCGACTTCTCGTACGAGAGCAGCAAATTGATCGCGATCTTTGTAAACCTCCTCGACCGAGAGCGTGCCTGGAAATAAAAATTTTTTTTTATTGAAAAAAAAAGGATCAAGGAAAAGAAAAAGAAGAAAGGAAAGAAAAATAAAAAGAAAGAGGGGAAAAAAAATGAACAAAATGAAAGCCCAAAAATACGTCATAGCGCATTCTTCAAAAGCAATACTCCGCAATCCTTATTCTTTCGTTTCGTCGTGGATAAACACGATCTATTTTCACGATACGTGGCAATGATTTTATTTCTAACATCATGAGATAAAGTCATGAAAAATATCAATAAATCCGATCTTAGAAGTTAATTATCACCTAAAATTGCACGTAAATGACCCTCGAGGGTGGACAATATAGTTGATTTTATTTCGTGGACACTCTTTCCGAGAAATTGTTCGCTGGCAGTATGTAAAAGCTCGTCGGCCTTCATGATCTTGCACTGGGCTACTCCGGTGACGGTCAGTGGTACTCCTTGGGCTGTCTCGACGTTCTCGCAAACTGGATTTAGCGTCATTACTTCGAGCGACAATCGTTGGACATCTGTGACGAACCACCAAGTGAAAACATAACCACCGACTATTGTCTTCTTCTTCATTGATCCGCAGCATCCTCCTGTGAAATAAAAAAAAATCGCAACGATATAATTTACATTTTTATCGTGATAATAATGTCATGGAATATTATCAAATTGAGAATTATCTAACTTCTTTTAATTTTTTTCATTCGAATGGAGGCGTTAGATTTGTCGCGTGTTGATTACATTCATTATAGACGATTATATATTTTTTGATAATTTAAACGTTGCTCTTTTCTTTTGTGGTAGACGCATATTGGACGATTAAATAGTCTCTATACAGTACCAATACGAAATGGATTTCATAGAAGTCGAATGTGTTTTGTATTTTCATTTTGGAAAACAAAAAAGAAAAAGATTATTTTGGGTTTATTCGTAATACTAAGCCGTAAATTTTTTAATGGGCAAAATTTTATAAACTGTTCGACAGTTTAAGTGAGTGTACATGAGAAGTTCTTTAATTACTTTTGAACGAGTGATGAAAGTTATGATAAGTTTTTTATTGGACTTAGAATTTCTTATAGAAATACTATGTTACGGCTATCCCATCGAAGAAAAGATTGTCTATAATTTAACTTTAAGAGATAGATAATAATATTAGTCTTGAAGTTAACCATTTATTTATTGAAAATATACATATAATAATTTAACTAATTAAGCGTCGAAACGGAAAAAAAGATCTCTATATTTCTTATTTATCATCATTAAACTAAATTTGGATCTTCAGCATATCATTGTCCTAATGTTAAAACAAAAAAAGTATTATGACACAGGGATTCAAAAAATATTCCTATTAGAAGGCATTACATTAGAATTAGTTTGAGTACGGTAATATCTTGGTAAACATATACGCCTCATAATATTTATTATCTCTATGTGAGCAATGAATTACTATTTCTAAGTTTTCTAAATGACGAGAAAAATGACAAAAGAAAATATTTGTCTTTATCTATTTCCTTTTTCTCGTCATTTTTCTCCCTTAGTATTTGCAGTAACGATTCCTCAAACGAGCTTTTAAAAATTTTCTTTCGTTTAGTTACATTGGCATTAGATTACAATGAGGTAACAGGGGAAACATGATTTATATCCTCCGTTTTTTCAATTACATTTTCATCGCCATTTCTGTTGTTGATCGTAGATTCAAAATTGTTGAATATGTTTCTACTCTTGATAAATAGAGCAAAAATAATGATTGATCGAATTATAAATATTTATCTCACTTTTTCCCCTTCCTGTTTCAGATGGCACACTTTTTTATTCGTCATATTCTCATTGCATGTCCTTAAATTTTTCCATTATATTTTTTATATTGTAATTGCTTATCTGTGAAAAAAAATTCACATTGTAATGACATAAACGTATGGCCAATGCCATTGATATTTGTAGAGGACGAGGCATATGTTTTCTTAAAACATATTATAATATTCCAATAGAAACTTATCAGTAAAAAAACTTTAGTTTTTTTTAGTAATTTTAATAACTATAAAAAAATTAGTATTATTAAGTATAGATTATTAGCTAATAATTTGCGAATATTTAATATTAACATCTGATATCAATATTGAATTTTGCGATAGTATTGGAAAAAGGCGTTGTATTCTTCATAATTATGTTAGAAAACACGAAGTAATTCGTTTTGAAAATACTTTCTATTAATATCCTTTGGAAAATATTGTTCCTATTAGAAGAAGAGGCAAAATTCGGTGTGATGATGTCAGAGAATACATTTACCTAATTATTTCATCTTATCACTGAGATGCATTCCACGGCAATATGAGAATATGTAATATTGTTTAAAATTTAATGTAATCTCGAGGCACGGACGAGTCAACGTAGACTTTTGTAAAATATAAAAAATGTACTTATTTACATAATGTGCTGAATGAAATTAAACCTAATCGAAAAATAATAAGAAACTTACTCTTTTCATTTTTATCTGTATCAGTTAGATTATTCAAATTTTCAACAAATTTTTTACACAATTCTACCCATAATTTCTTTTTTTTTTTTTTTTTCAATTCTTATCAAAATATTTTTTTAATATATTATTGCTCGTTTCTCAATCTCTCTAATGAATATTTCAATATCCAACGGCATGTTGTTTGATTTGATTTTAAAAATACTGTTACTTGCTACTCTCATTAAAGTAACGAGTGTAAATGGTAACGAGTTTTTTAGAATATAAATCAAACAACATAGACTTAAAACATATGTGGTCTCTATGAAATCCGTTTCGTACTGAATTTCGTACTGAAATCGTATAGCAATAACTATACATATAACTATACATCACTTTTAAGTGATCAAACTATTTAATCAGCCATCATAAAAGTTGTTAATACGTGGGTAGGCCTTGAGGCGACATGTGTGATCTATTTCCAACCTGCGGGTATCAGAATATGAGAAATATTTTAATTTCAAATTTAAGTTTTTACTTTAAATAACAGGAGATAAATTGTATTTATGATTTATTTCATTTTATGAATTAATCTTTTTATTTCACGTTTATCAAAGATATCTTCGCGTATAAAGAAAAAAATAACTTTATTTTTTGAGTGAAAATAAGAAGTCGGACTAGAGAGTAAATTATTGATTGATAAATTATTTATTATTATTACTATTACTATTATTATTATTATTACTATTATTATTATTATTATTATTATTATTATTATTATTATTATTATTATTTATAATAATAAATGCCGATAAGACAACATTGTAACTAGGAAGCTTGATTCTCTTATGCCTTGTAAAGCACGTCTCGCTTCCCTGCTCTTGTCACAACTAAAAGTAGGTCAGAGAGGCCGCACCGTTCTTCACGATGAGACCAATGGCTCGTGACGTCAAGAACACGATTCCCTGAACATTAACTCGCGATCGTCCTTCGTTTACGTGAGATATCTCACGTAACGCACTTGATCGAGCGAAACTTTTAAAACATTCTTCACGACCATTCATCCTTCTTACTAAAATGGATTGAACACTTTTGAATCGAGTATCGTAATAAGAATATATTTTCACTGAATATCATAATTATTGTTGTAAAATAAGAGAATAGGAGAAGAAAAGAAAAACGAAGTTCCAAAAAGAAAGAAAGAAAGAAGAAAAAAAAAAAAGAAAAAAGAAGGAAATTTACTTCCGTTAATAGTTTTTCTCTAACAAGTTGACGAACGTAATTGTTTTCTTAATAGACTCATTATCGTCGTCGTATAGCGTTTTTCTTTCCTTTCGTTTTTTTTTTTTTTTTTGAAAACATTCTTAAGATAACAATAATGACGATAATGATGATGACATGACAAGAACGACGATGACGAGCATATTAAACAATTGCTTTCAAAATTATATCTAGATCTAAGATAGATCCAATATTTTTATCGTTTTTGAGTATGAGAAGATAATCGTTCAAAAAGAAAATTTGAAAAGGAGAGAGGAGAAATGGAGAGAGCAAAAAAAAAAGAAAAATGTGACAGAGAAAGGCAGAGAGGGAAGTCGATGACCGTTATGCGAGAGGCACGTAGCTTCGAAACCCGTTCGCTTTGAAGGTAATAGTATAACTCTAGAATACAATCTCAATGGATCCAGCATGCTGATAGTCGCGTCCGTAGTAAGGTCATGGTCATTCTTACGAGGTTGCCCTTCGGGTTCGTTCGATTGTCTTCTCTTCGTAAGGTCTATATCCTTTCGTTCTTTACTTCGACCTAAAGAATACGAATTCTCGCGTGGAAAAATTAGTTATTACGAAATTTTACGTGAATATGGTTAATTATTTAATCACACAGAAATACAACTTAAGAACAATATAATAATAATATTTCTCAAAAGTACGTGCCTGTGAAGTGTGTGATGATTGTATAATGAAACATAAGAAAAAGATTATATACGTGATATTGTGAAGAAATTTTTCATTATGAAGTTAAAAAAATCGCTTTTTTTTTTTGTAACCAGTTGATTCGTTTCTCCGCAAAAAAAAATCTATAATATCCATTATTAATACGCTTAAACGATCTTGGAATTAGAATCGTACAAGTGGCGGCACAGAAACCTAGAAAACGATCGAGAAAACGAACGGGGAAACCTCTCAAAGACATTGTGATACTATATAGGGAAAACAAAGAATTTCGATCTAATATGGAACAATAACCTATGCGACGAAGGTATATATCGGAATTATATGAACTAACTAAATGGAAATATCCTCTAACAGGTTCTTTTTTTTTCTTTTCCTTTTCTCTTCTTCCTTTTTTTTCTTTTTTTTTTCTTTTTTTTTTTTTTTTTAAATTCGAATTTCCACAAATTTTAACGACCTTAATCCATAGACTTTCGATACTGAGAGTAAAAAATAACAGGAATTAAGAACTCTGCTCAACGTTTTATTTATGTGACGTCCAGAAAATTGTCGAAACTTTACATTGATAGTGAATTACTTAACAGTCGAAAGTTTTCTGCTTCATTGTTATTCACAACGACATACTTCATGGTCTTTCGAGACAATTGAATTTTTAAACGATGATACGATGATACTCAGTATATTGGTATCGATTCTACAGGAACAACGTGTCTTAAGAAAGTCTTGGAAATGCTTTCGATTTATTGTAAATTATACGCTCCATTGTATCTTTTTTATAAAAAACAAAAAAATAAAAAAAAAGATATAAATAAATAAAAAAAGATAAAAGAAAAAGAAAAGTATTTCGTAAATTATTAAATAAAATCAACTTTACTTTTGCAGAAGCTATAAAATAAGTCATAATGGGAACAGAAAGTGCATTGATTGGAGGCTTCTCTACGACAAGCACTGGACTATCGTGGTTTTTTTCAGTTTTAACTGCAGCAATACTTTATTTCCATTATGAAGTCTTAGACAACGAGGCACCACCTATTGATGTTCCTTCTGAAGAATTATTAAGATCTTACGATTTTATCATAATTGGTGGTGGATCGGCAGGTATCTATCGTTAAAATGATTATTAAATTTATGAGATCTTCTTACTTCTCGTCTATTCGTTACAATCGAATGAAATTGATTGCGTTTTACTTTTAAGATCAAATTATTTTGTGATATTGCAATGACAATTGACCTGAGTATGAAAAATTTCTCTTTTCATTTTTAAAAAATTGTAATAATTGTTAATCACTATATTTCGATGATATTATTAAGAAAGATTGAAATCGTATACGTTATGAAGAAAAATTCGGATAAGTCGAATTATGATTAATATTTTATGTTTTAAAAGAATACACGTAACAGTTATTTTTTTCCTTTTACATTACATATTGATAAGACTATATTAAATAGTTGACTGAAATAACGACGATATCTAGAACGATGAAAATTACCGACAATTTTCTATTATGTATATCCGTTTCAGGTGCCGTTGTAGCGAATCGTTTAAGCGAAATCAACAACTGGAACGTGCTACTCCTAGAAGCTGGAGGACAGGAGACAGATATATCGGACGTACCTCTTCTTGCTGGTTATCTTCAACTAACTCAACTCGATTGGCAGTATAAGACAGAACCTCAGAGTACTTATTGCTTGGGTAAGTATTACTGAACTGGATCTTGATAATTTTTCTTTTTTTTTTCTTTTACTAACATGTAACATAATGTGATCGTATAGAGTCCGCATCGAAAGTTTTCATTCGAAAGAGTTAGAAATCTGTCGAGTCTTGCTACATCGAATACCAATGAAAGTATTGCAATCGTTTCAGCAATGGAAAATGAACGTTGCAACTGGCCTCGTGGTAAAGTGATCGGTGGTAGCAGCGTTCTAAACTACATGCTTTATCTTCGTGGAAATAAAAAGGACTATGACTTGTGGGAGCAGCAGGGTAATCCTGGTTGGAATTCGAAAGAAGTACTTTATTATTTCAAGAAGTCCGAAGATAATCAAAATCCATACTTGACACGTACATCGTATCATTCGAAGGGTGGTTATCTAACGGTTCAAGAAGCACCATGGCATACACCATTGGCGGCAGCCTTCATTCAAGCTGGTCAAGAGATGGGTTACGAAAATCGTGACATAAATGGAGAATATCAGACTGGTTTCATGATCGCACAGGGTACCATAAGACGTGGCAGTCGATGTTCCTCATCAAAGGCTTTCTTACGTCCTATAAGACTTCGTAAAAACTTGCACGTTGCATTGAACTCACACGTGACCAAAATACTGATCGATCCCTATTCTAAGAAAACATACGGAGTAGAATTTGTCAGAGATAAGAAAGTTTTTCGCATATATACGAAAAAAGAAGTGATCGTGTCCAGTGGATCCATCAATTCTGCTCAGCTCCTGATGTTGTCAGGTTTAGGACCAAGAAAAGATTTACTTAAACACGGTATTCCGATAATACAAGACCTAAAGGTAGGTCACAATCTACAAGATCACGTTGGTTTAGGTGGTCTCGCTTTTCGAGTGAACAGTGAAATTTCTATGGTCGAAAAGAGACTTCACAATGTGCAAGCTGTCATACAATACGCACTTTTAGGTGATGGTCCTTTGACCGTTTTAGGTGGTGTTGAAGGAGTAGCCTTTATTAATACTAAGTACGCTAATGCCACGGAAGATTTTCCAGATATCGAGCTACATTTCGCATCAGGCTCGATAAATTCAGATGGCGGTAGACAATTACGAAAGATCGATGGGGTAAAGAAGAGTTTTTATGATGCAGTTTTTAGTCCGATTAGCGAAAAGGACGTTTGGAGCGTGTTACCCATGCTTTTGAGACCTAAGAGCAGAGGTATTATCAAATTAAAAAGCAAAAATCCGTTCGATCATCCCTTGATTTATACTAACTATTTCAAAGAACGCGAGGATATAGCGACCCTTATTGAAGGTATCAAGATCGCTATTGCACTTAGCAAAACTCGAGCTTTTGAAAGATTCGGTAGTGAACTTTATTCGAAACCATTTCCCAATTGCAAGGATATACCACAGTACACTGATCAACATTGGGAATGTATGATTAGATATTATACGCATACGGTTTATCATCCTGTTGGTACTTGCAAAATGGGACCGTATTGGGATCCAGATGCAGTGGTCAACCATAAGCTTCAAGTTTACGGAGTAAGTGGCCTTCGTGTTATCGACGCTTCTATCATGCCCAACATTGTCAGCGGTAATACCAATGCTCCAGTGATAATGATCGCCGAGAAGGGTTCTGACATGATTAAGCAGTACTGGTTAAAGAAGAAGAATCGAGGCTAAAGCACGTACTTGGAAAAAAAATATCAAGATGGAGTAGAACTTTTCTACGAAAAGTGATATCACGACCATCATTTTTTAAACAATTTTAGATTAAAAACAAGTGATGTTTTATGTTAATAATTTAATATATTTTTATTGTTTTGTCAATTATTATTTATTGTCCAGAATATCTAATGATTGTGACATCATTTCAAAGTACAATAAACTTTATATACGGCTATGTATTTGATAGTAACATAAATTGTAATTTATGTATATTATCGTTTTTCATAAAGACATCAACGTTATCTTCAGATATGTTATTGTATGACATATTTTAGTAAAATGAATAATTGTAAAAAATATGTAAAGACATAAAATAATATATGAAGTAAATATATAATATTAAATGTATAATTATCGAAATTTTGCATTGATACTAAATTTATTTGTAACGGTAAGATTGCTGACACGACGAATAAAGAGAATATCGAGGTCAATTTATGTGCATTATGTGGGCAGGTGCCTCTCGAGAACTACATTCTTTCTTTGTATCACGAATAGAAAGCATCGATCGTTGGTATTTCATTTTTAAAAGAAAGAAAATTTTCATTCATTAAGAATGATTACGGTAAAAAAATTGTCTCCTTTACAAATCGCGCTTTTTTATAGGCTGGAAAAGAGTTTTCTAATTTTATTAAAAATCTTTGTGTTGTTATATCGTCCGGATATCATTGATCATGATAATCGAATAAATACATTGTCACCGAGAAAACTTTTAGATAATTATGACTTTGTGGTGATCGGTGGTGGTTCAGCAGGATCAGTTATTGCGAATCGTCTTTCGGAAAACGAAAATTGGACGGTGCTTTTATTGGAAGCTGGTGGAATCGAACCGATGTTATCAGATATTCCTATTATTTTTCCGACTTATCAAGTTAGTCCAATAGATTGGCAATTTAAGACGGAACCGTCATCGTATTATTGCCTGGGAATGAATAATAGGCAATGTAATTGGCCACGAGGAAAGGTGAAATATTATAAATTAATATCTTGAATAGAATTTTATTCGAACAAATTGTCAAAGGATGTTCTTATGTTAAAAGGTATTAGGCGGCAGTAGTGTGATAAATGCTATGCTCTATGTACGTGGTAACAAAAAGGATTACGATAATTGGAGAGATCAAGGTAATCCTGGTTGGGATTACGAGAGTGTACTGCCATATTTTAAAAAATCGGAAAGTAACAAAATCGAAGGTTTAGATCCCGCTTATCATGGGACTAACGGAGAAATGACCATTGAACATTTCAGATTTCAAACTCCTGTGACGGATTATTTATTAAAGGCTGGAAAAGAGATAGGCTATAGAATAGGTGACATAAATGGATCGAATCAAACTGGATTCACGTATTCTCATGCAACGATCAGAGACGGTCTTCGTTGCAGTACTTCTAAAGCTTTTCTTCGGAAGGCATCGAAAAGAAAAAATCTTCATATATGCACGCATTCGATTGTCGAAAAAATTCTGATAAAGGAAAATTCAAAGAGAGCTTATGGCGTGATGTTTCGGAACAATGAAGAAACATACACCGTTCATGCGAATTTCGAAGTTATTTTAGCTGCCGGTACTATACAGTCACCGCAATTGCTAATGCTGTCGGGAATTGGACCAATGGATCATCTTAAGGAATTAGATATACCATTGATCCAAGACATGCCAGGCGTTGGTTCGAATCTTCAAGATCACGTTGCGATAGGAGGTATAGTTTATTTGGTCGATCCACCGGAAAAATACAATTTCAACGAGTTCACTTATGTATTGCCGAAACTTCTTTCCCTGAAATCGGTAAAACAATTTGCTAAGAAAAAAAGTGGTCCTTTATATACGGCACCAGAGTGTGAGGGAATGGCTTTTATTAATACAAAGTAAGTATAGATATTGATCGATCTTTTTAAAAACACTTTTTCTCAGGATTACTTTTATAAAAAATATCATTCATTTTCAGATATTCAAATGTCTCCGCAGATTATCCAGACATTCAGCTATTTATAGCGGCGGCTTCTATCAATTTAGACGGTGGAGTATTTAGTAAAAGAATATTTGGTCTTACGGACGATTTTTATGCAAAAGTTTTCAAAAATATCAACTATCAGGATTCTTACTCTATTATACCAATTCTTTTGAGACCTCGTAGCAGAGGTTATATCAAATTAAGAACGAAAAATCCCAAAGATCACCCTATCATTGTACCCAATTACTTTAACAATCTTCGCGACCTTGAAATTTTGGTAAAGATGCATACTTTCTGCCTCTTAATGTTAATTTATAATAAATTTAACATAAGTTATTAATTATTTTTAAAACTTTAAAAATTATAATGAAATACTAACGAACGTATCCTTTCTAAACTAATATTTCAATTGATCTCAGTTAAACTTTTTCAAGAGACTTTTGTTAAATATACGTTTCATAGATACTAATCTTTCATGGAATATTTTTTTCTATCACAGATAGAAGGCGCAAAGTTTGCACATAAAATAAGTCAAACGAAAATAATGCAAAATGTTAATGCTCGGCCAAATCCAAATAGAATACCAGCTTGTTCAATATTTCAATTTTCATCAGATGATTATTGGCGATGTCACGCACGTCATTATACAATGACGATTTATCATCCAATTGGTACATGCAAGATGGCACCTGCCAACGATCCTATGGGTGTAGTTGATTCTCGATTGAAGGTACACGGTATTCAAGGTCTTCGTGTGATCGACGGATCCATCATGCCGAATATAATCTCTGGAAATACCAACGCACCCATAATAATGATCGCGGAAAAAGGTGCCGATATGATTAAGGAGTATTGGAATAACCGAAGTCATTCGTGATAAGCAAAATCAACAAATTATTCAATGTACATTTGATAAATATCATATTTCCGAAAAATTATTTGAAATAATTAAATAAATACGTACATATATCTTGTTACATTATCAAGCTATTTTGGCATTGAGCACATGTGCGAATTAAAATAATTGATCGAATACCTCTATATTTCGATAATTTTTATTTACCCACATGCTGTGTCAATATATTTTTCTTATGTGTACTCAAGTGTGCCACATGATTTCTATTATAATAATTACCTTTCATCTTCCTTTATTACTCAAAGACAGAATCATTTGAAGCTCTATTCGTTCGCTGGCACTCGAATCAACCGGATTCTAACTCTTCAAGAACCTGGTAAGATCTCATAATCCTATGAAACCGTGGTAACAATTAAGCGTATAAGAATAATCAGATCGTATCGGTGGTTGATTCTCGCAACGAGCCGTACCTCCTAATTTTCCTCGAATACAAGTGAAATCATACATCTTACGATAGGTAAAGCGAAAAGTAAAAGAAAAGAAAAAAAAAAGAAAAGAAAAGAAAAGAAAAGAAAAAACATAGGAAGAGAGAGAGAGAGAGAGAGAGAGAGAGAGAGAAAGAGAGAGAAACAGTGATTCACCATATTTGTGCGTTGCGAATCATTATAAACTCGTATAGCGAAATACTAGCTTGCATAATCGATAGAGAAGTCTTCTCTTTCTGTTTTTTTTTCTTTTCTTTTCGTCTTCTTTTATTTTGATTTTCTTTCTTTGAACTCGAAAAAGTTTACTGAAGTTTTTGGGTTGGTGAGCAATTCAAAGGATTTCTCGATTTGTTGAAAGGTTCGCGCATTAGGCAGGATGATCATAATAGTTCGTTATTTCTTGTTATTGCCCATGGAGAATCGGTTCACATACGTGTATATATATACAGGGTGTTCATTTATAAATGTTCAAGCAAATATATTGCGGACAAGTTTAAGTTATAAGAAAATTTAATAATAAAAATTAGTGTGAACTGGATCATTCATAAGAAAATTTGTGTAAACAAAATTTTGTTTGTTGAAAAAGCGATTTCTTTTCGATTTATGAAGATCAACAGTGTTTCTTTATTTTTTTTTTCTTTTTTTTTTTTTTTTACATGGATACCTATAATATTTTTTTATGCATATTTCTATAGTAGTGATCATTTGTAATTAAAATCATATGAAAGTGACAAATTTTTATTACACATCGTTTACGAGTTAATCAAAATCTTAAATATTAAAATACATAGTTGCTTTTCCACATGACAATTTGGAAAACATTCATCGGACCATATAATATTTTGAATTCGATTACAACGTATAGATTCTGACCTTCTGACTGACTTTCAACTTGTTAATAAAAGATATACGACTATTTGATTTGTAAATAATATATTTGTATAGTATGGAGTATCAATTATAGTACAGTATGATTATGTTAATCAATCTTTAAGATATCGATTATCTCGTAAAAAATGTATAATAGCAATTTTTTATTACATATGATTTTGATTACCAATGACCATCGCTATACAAATAATAGGAAAAAGAGATATTATGGATATTGATTTAAAAAAAAAAAACAACATTGACCTTCATAACTCGAAAAAAATCACAAATAAAAAGAAAAAAAGAATACTTGCACTTTGTAGCTGACTCAGAGCCGTGCAAATTTTTCTTAATAACATTTTTTTTAATTTAACCAACTAGTTATGAGATATTTGCTCGGATGTCTATGGATGGACACCCTGTATACACAAGTCCATTTGATTCATGAAGGATGCAACATCAACGAAAGTCATTTGACGAGGAAGAAAGCCGGACAACGAAACGAAATACACACACACACACACACACATCCTTTTGCACTATAATTATTTTCCTAGTTTGTTCTTGGTCAATTTATAGTTTCACATACATAAACATATACTTTAAAAGAAATTTTTAAATACTTATTTGTTTTATTAACTAAATGAAACATCACATTAGAGATGATTCGAAAGTTATAGAGAAAAGTCAATCGTCATCTTGCAATGCAAAGGGATGTATATATTGTGTGTGGATATACATACAATATAATTTTGTTATTCAACTTTCTTCGTCGATGGAATGACTTTCGTCGACGTTGCATCCTGCTTGGACCGAATAGACTCGACTGAACGCAGAGTGGAAGCAAGATGACGTCACGTCACGGATGTTTCACCGCCGTCAGACACGAGGGATTTCTTTGGCCCTCGAAAGAGAGGAGTAAGAGGAGTGGAAAGAAGAGAAGAAGGAGGCTTCTTAATTAGTGCGTCTAGCTTCGTCGGTTGGTTTGGCTGACGGGTTAACCGATATGCGGCTAACAACGTTTGCCTCTTGCCAAACGATCTTCTTCGAGGAGAAACGGACGCGAGTCTTACTGTCTGCCTTCTCTGTTCGCGTCTACTTGATATTTTTGGTCGTTGAGTCGATTAGCAACCTTCCTGTTGACCGTCCAGGAGCCACCATTGACTCGTAGCCGCGCGCCTTTCGACTCGAGTCACCGTTCGTTCCCCCTTTAGTTTCTTCTTTGTTCTCGTCGACGCTCCAAATGCTTCCAAAATGTTTGCGAGCCGGCAAGCTTGAGTCGATACTTCACCATCAGCCGCGCTACGTTCCACTGAATTTCATCAGGTAACGATCTCTCTCTCTCTCTCTTTCTTTCTTTCTCTCTCTCTCTTTCTCTCTCTCTCTTTCTCTCTCTCTCTCTCTCTCTCTCTCTCATTCTTTCATTCTCTTTCTTTCTCTCATTCTTTCATTCTCTTTCTTTCTCTCATTCTCTTTCTTTCTCTCTATTGTACTTATCACTAATCAATATAATTAATATTCGTCTACAATGAAATCCAATTGATTTTGAACGACACGTGCTTTCATAAAAATCTCGAATTTCTTTTCTCGTCCTCGGAAGTAAACTCGTCCAACAACGTTTACCACCAACGTACATACATTCGAGTTCACCGTGTTCGTTATAGCCAGTTGCAATGGGAATCGATCGTACACACATTTATCTTATGTAAAACGTATTTAATGGACCAATGGTAAGAGTACGATCAATCGGAGGTTGCAGTCAGTACAGAACTCGATTTCGTTCGTGCGCCCGCGCGCGCCCCCGCGCCATTCGGAATTTCAATCTAAATGTCGCTGATTATCTAGTCCAACTTGCGTGGGATCTTATGGTATTTCAAAAATGAAAAAAAAGAGATACATAAAAAAAAGAGAAAAGAAAAGAAAAGAAAAGAAAGAAAAAATAGTTTCACCAACGATACAATTTTAATGCTCACGTCTTTTTGTGTTACTTCTTGATCAAATCAAATATGATATTAGTTCATAGTCCGAAGGAGAACGTGATAAGTGATTTGTTTCTTTATCTAATCGTCGTGTCGCATCAAGTCAAACTAAATTCGCAATTATTCTGTACAATCGTTATCACGCGATTAGGAAAATTTACGTCTGTGTCGTGGATATAAATACGTTGATCAAATACGGAGGACACGTTAATGGCCATCATTGCAGGATTTATAAATTAATTATTTATAAATCGAATACAATCATAAAGATAATTTTCAATAACTCAAATAATGAGATAATAGTATGAAGTAAAAAAAACGAGCTGTGCGACAATTAATAAACGTTATTAACGGCACGTTCGGTTAAATAATAAAATTATGAATAAAGAAAATATATACTTATATATTTATAATGAAAATTATTCTTTAGTGTATCAATTAACGAATCATTTCTAAATTAAAAGTTAATTTAAATTTAAAATGTAATATTAAAAAAAAAAGAACTAGATTTCTATGATAACGATTATATTACAATAATATAAACGAAAGTAGTACTGACCGTCGTGGTTTCTGCAATACGTCATTATTTTATTATTGCTGCATTTTAATCCAATACTTATCATTTTTAATCGTATAATATGTATCTTGTCAGTGGCAACCAAATGTATTATGATAGGTAGATTATCATCGCTAAAAATATGAATACTCATTATTACTAAGAGTATAGTCATATTAAAGATTATAAAATATGAATAATTTATCATTACAAGTTTATAATAATGAAAATTCTGTTACAACGGATTAGACTTACGATAGTCAACGTGTGTTAAAATCCTGTTGATTCGGCTCTTCCGTTTTAGTCAAGAGTTACTTATATATCCATTCAAATGTCTGTCACGATTTTCTTCTTATATTTCGTGTAACTCCAAGAGAAGATTACATATTGCGAGTTGGATTGTATTTAATTAGACGATTCTTGACGAGCATTATCGGAAAGACTTCCGATGTATTACGTATGCTCTCTCTCTCCTCTCCCTCTCCCTCTCTCTCACTCTCTCTCTCTCTCTCTCTCTCTCTCTTTCCTTCTTTCTCATGCATGCTGCTTATTTGTATAGAAAGGCATCTATCGTTTTGGTTCTCTTATATCTGTGGCCGTGAGGCCACTGCACCCTACCCTAGTCGTTCTATTGACGTTCTGCAGAACCACTATATCTATCTATCCGATCCCTGTTACAGATTTACCATTCTTTATGTAACGACATATCATATTTAACATTTACCAACTCTCTACACATTATCTATAACGGTATTTAAGGAAAGGATCGAGGGAAATCGAAAATAATCGATGCCTCGTAATTTCCTCTTCTATCGCAAGCAATAAAGAGTGCCTATTAAGTAAAAAATAAAAGGAAAGTAAGAGGAATGAGAATAACGTTTACTTTCTATCTTTGGTGCTACAATAACGAGTGTTAGAACGTTCTCGATGGTATCGATCTTTCTTTTTCTCTCTCTCTCTCTCTCTCTCTTTCTCTCTCTCTCTCTCTCTTTCTCTCTCTTTCTTTTTCTCTCTCTCTCTCTTTCTTTGTTTTCCTTGTTTCAGTTCATACGGTTTCTTGCTAGTGCATGGATCATCATTTTCACTTTTATTTATGAATCCTTTGAAATGATAAATTGTATGCGCGCAACCAAACGGAAAATCTGTCGCGATCGTAAGTACCGTGGTGGAAAGAACGTTTGTGTTTAATTAAATGTATGGTTATCAAAAATCTTTCCTATGACATACGTTGACATTCATAAGTCGTTATCATTAAGAAAATCCCCATAATATTATATACTTATCTAATCGTTCGTTATCTTCGAATCTAATGACGTTTTATAAAACCATACGTAATGGATCATTAATTTAATTTCAACGATTAATCGTACGAGTATTTGAGAAAAATTAAATGATCTATATTTGATAAAAATGTGATTATCGTGGTTAATCGTGCAAAATAAATGTATGGTAAACGTGAGCGGATAAAGAAAAAAAGAAAAAAAGAAAAAAAGAAAAAAAAAAGCAAAAAAAAAAGCAAAAAAAAAAAACAAAACAAAACAAAAATGAAAAGAAAAAGAAAAAAAAACGAAGACCTGTTTAATAAAAAATAAATATAATAATTTACAGATGATCTTGGATGACGTACGATGATACGGATTTTAAAAATGCGCCTACTCGATTTTATCTTGCTTTTGGTGCAGTATGCATTCGCTAAACAAGTTAATCCACCGATGGTAAGTATAAATATTAATCGATGAAAGCGCCATATAAAAAAGTACATTGTTATTTCGACGATCAAATCAAAAGATACAAGCTTAAAATTAAAATATAATTTAAGATTATCAGTGATATTAAAATCTTTTTTAAATTGTGCCGAATGAAATAACGAATGTATTTTACAGGATACGGTATTATTAAAATACCGATATGCAGAAACAAAAAAGAGGAAAAAGAGAATAATCAACTAGAAATTTGAAATTCGTATTAACGTGATTATTTTGTTATGAACTGTGAAATATTAAAATGTTATATACGTTGCTGATTAGCTGATAATAACGTCTATTCTTTCTTTATTATTTTTTCTCTGTTTTTTTTTCTTATCTTTCTTTTTTTTCTTTTGCGAAAAAAATTCAATTAGAATTAATACAGTGTCGTTTCTTTCAGCTCAATCAATTGGGCTTAAATTATGACAGTTTCATTATATCAAACACAACAGGATGTTGCGGCTGCAGTTTCGAAGATACAAAATATATGGACACGTTATGCGGAGGCCAATCCGCTTTCATAAATTTAGTTCAGAATCTGATGATGTCGAGATGCGACATTTCTGACCCTTGCCGTCGATTGGGTAGAGACGATGTACCAAACGAATGGTAAATAAATGACCTAAATAATGAGTTCTCAAGTCTATTCTCGAAAATAAACCATTTTGGCAAGGCATTCATGATGATATGTACGTTTACATAGGTACGACTTCATTGTCGTTGGTGCAGGTGTAGCCGGACCTATTATTGCCAGAAGATTAAGTGACAATGCTTGGAATAGAGTTTTATTGATTGAAGCTGGTCCCGAAGAACCAACCATGACAGCTATTCCAGGATTTGCTTCGAGCGCTATTTCTTCGTCACTAGATTGGAAATATAAAACGGAACCAACGAGACCACATCCAACAGCCTGTTTAGGTAAAATAATCTATCATTATTATTCCATTCGTCCAACATCGAACAAAATTCATTGAAATTTTATTCGGAATTTCAGATACTGGTGGAAAGTGTAATGTACCTAGAGGAAAAATGATCTCAGGTACCGGCGCAATGCACGGCATGATGTATTATCGCGGTCATCCAGAGATCTATAATAAATGGGCACGTGAGGGTAACATTGGATGGTCCTATGATGAAATCGAACACTATTTCCAACGTGCAGAGGATCCGGTTGATCCATCGATGTTAAGTTCATTCGCTCGTACTGTACCCAATGGCCCAGTGAAAATTCAACATTATTCTCATAGACCAGCATTTGTTAGTTCACTTTTAGAATCAGCGTCCGAATTAGGTTATAAAACGTCTGGTTTAAAGGAGTTTTCCCAAACTGGTTTCATGGTAGCACCAATGACTGTGGAGAAAGGATTAAGAGCATCAACTCCTAAAGCCTATCTAAGACCTGTATACAATAGAAATAATCTACGAGTTCTGACTAATGCTCGAGTATTGAGGGTTTTAATTAACGATTACGATATGAAAGCATACGGTGTTGAACTGGTCGACAAAAAAGGGCAAAGGAAAGTCATCAAGTGTAATAAGGAAGTTATTTTGACGGCTGGTGCCATGGGATCGCCACATTTACTTCTAAATTCCGGTATTGGGCCAAGAGAGGAATTAAATAAATTTGGTATTAGAACGTATAAGGATTTACCAGTAGGACAGTATTTTATCAATCACGTGTCCATTGCTGTACCAATGACTATTAAAGATATTTCGGTAGAAACTATGACCATGCAATCAGTGAACGAATTTCTTGAAACTAGAACCGGTGATTTGGCTAGCACTGGATTAACTCAGGTCACTGCTTTTCTTGAAAGTAACTACACTATTCCTGGTTTACCTGACTTGCAAGTATTCTTCGACGGCTTCAGTTCGTACTGCCCGAAAACAGGAATGCCAAACGAATGCACGGATGGTGTTAAAGAACCTTGCCCCAATAGAAGAAAGATCGTCGCTAGACCGACCGTCGTAATTCCTGAAAGTCGTGGTACAGTAGAACTGCGTAGCGCCAATCCTTTAGATTTGCCTCTAATGTATCCTAATTATTTCACCAATGAAAAAGATATGAAAGTTTTGATCGAAGGTATAAAAAAAATACTTCAGCTCATAGACACCCCGACCATGAAGAAATGGGATCTTCAATTAGATACAGTGAAACATCCACTTTGTACAAAGTAAGTCTATTATTCATTCATTTTTTTTCCATCTTCGTATAATTATTAAAATAAATATACTGACAATAACATCATATTATTTTCAAGTTTGCACTTCGGCTCGGATGCATATTGGGAGTGTTATATACGAGCTAAGACTGGACCGGAGAATCATCAAGCCGGTACCTGCAAAATGGGACCAGCAACTGATCCTGATGCCGTCGTCGATTCGCAATTACGAGTACATGGTGTACCAAACATTCGTGTTGCCGATCCTTCCATATTTCCATATCTACCCAATTCTAATCCAATTGCTGCTATAATGATGGTAGCTGAAAAGGCATCCAATATGATTATCAATTCGTGGTAATCAAATAATTAATTCATACGATTTTTCACAAAATTTCTTAATAAACGATTACTTCTTTCCCTCCTTTTATGAGTTTTATTATACACTTTGTCAGTTTTGTATATTTATATATTCTAAACAATATTTAAATAAGTACGATACTAAGCGGAAAAAAAATAACGTAATCAGAGATACATATATTATTACGTAATTATTTCTTTAAAAAATATCGATAAGTTTAAACTAATAAAAGAGCATTATTTAAAAATGAAGAAACATTATTGCTAACAATCGAGCACGATTATATTGGAACATATAGAAAATATTATATATATATATGTGTATGTATATATATGTGTGTGTGTGTATTTCTGTGCCTGTTTCTCTCTCTGTATGTATGTATTTGATCGATATAACGAAATTGATATCACTGAATATCGTATAAAATGACTAATGTGTGATTGTAATTTGAGATTGTTTGTTAAAGATATGATGCATAATCTGATATAGGAAAGGTTACATGACTGGATAGGTAAAAGGATACGCCTCGATGGAAAAGAAATTGCGGGAATAAAGAATCGGGAAGATCAAGTGATCAAAAGAAACAAGAATTGTAAATTGATCTAGAAATTAAAGTAGGAGATATTACCGAGATCTATTCATGATACAGCATCTGAATATGATCAATCATCTTTTAGCGTTTGCTTATTACAGAACTATCAGTGAGTAATAATGATTTATGACCTATTTCGTGAACTTGCATTAACATGAGTAATTATTTTAATTGACTCTACTTTATTCTAATTGCCACTAGTTGGATTGTTATTCTTACAATTAGTCAAATAGATTTCATCAAAGGATAAATAAAGAAAGTGAGGCAACATTGAAGGATAAGTTCGTAAGACAAGTGAGTGTCATAATTATTAGAATTTTTACTTTTCTTTAAAAAAGAAAGAAAAGGAAGAAAAAGAAAAAAAAAGAAAAAAAAGATAAAAATAAATACAATAAATAATAAAAATGTAAAAAAAAAAACTGCCGCAAAAAATTTATATTTTCTGCGGAATTTTTTTAGGTGAAGGATCGTCGGACCGAGTCAAGGAACAGACGAAAAATCTAGAAAAAAAGAAAGAAAAAAAAAAAGAAAAAAAAAAAAGAAAAGAAAGGAAAAAAAGAAAAAAAAATGGAATTTTGCCTTTCTGAAACTTGTGCATCTGCGGCACAAGGATCTTCTAATTTTTTATTCACGCAACTGTTACAAACGTTGCTCGTTGCACAATGCTCTCTAAGCGTTAATAAGGAATATCCGAAGGATCGTACGAAGGAAATTATAAATTCGAAAAAGGAATTTGATTTCGTGATTGCAGGAGGTGGTAGTGCTGGATCGGTTTTGGCAAACAGATTGACAGAGATAAGCAATTGGGATGTATTATTGATCGAAGCTGGTGAAGATCCATCAGTATTATCAAACATTCCTGGATCGATTTTGATGCTTCTGGGAACCGCAGAAGATTATAATTATGATATCGAACCACAGGAAGGATTTTGTCAAGGTATGAAAGACAGAAATTGCAAATGGAGTAAAGGAAAGGCCCTAGGCGGCAGTTCTGTGATAAATGCAATGTTACACGTCCATGGAAATGATCGAGATTACGACGAATGGGAACGCCTTGGCAATGAAGGTTGGAGTTACGAGAACGTGTTACCATATTTCAAGAAAACAATCAACTGTTCTCCAGAGTATGTCGATAAGTGGGGAGATAAATATTGCACCAAAGATGGGCCTCTGGATATTAGAAGTTTCAATTATTCCGAAACAAACATACAAGAGATCTTCATAAACGCTGCTCGTGAACTTGGTGTACCTATTCTTGAATTGCTTGATGGGCAACATTATATAGGATACGGGAAAGCATTGGGAACTGTTAATATGTCTCGTCGAGTAAATGCAGCCAAAGCATTTCTTTCACCGATAAAGGATAGAAAGAATCTATACGTGATGAAATCTGCCAGGGTAGATAAGATCCTCATGAATGATAATCGAGCAACTGGTGTTAGGGTGACCTTGAAAAATGGCGAGGAAGTCGAAGTGACGACATCAAAAGAAGTGATTTTATCCACCGGCACTATCACAACACCTCAGATTTTAATGCTTTCTGGAATTGGACCAGCGAATCATCTACGTGAAATAGGAATATCTCCAGTGGCTGATTTACCTGTTGGAAAAAATCTTCAGGATCACGTAATATGGTTAGGAATTCAATTGGCATACATCAATCAAACAAAAGGACCACCATCACCGACGCATATAATGGACATTGCTTATGATTATCTGATGAAAGGAACTGGTGAATTGGCCACAATCGGAGGCGTTGATCTACTTGGGTTTCTTAACTTAACCGACCCACAATCGAAATACCCCGAAATAGAGATTCTCTTTACTCACGTACCAAGATGGCATGTCTATAAACTCAAAAGCCTTTTAAAAGCCTTCGACGTTTCAGACGAACTAATCGACAATATGAAAAAAGTCGTTATGGAGACAGATATCATATTTATGTGCCCGTCTTTACTGAGACCAAAGAGCAGGGGTGAAATTAAGTTACGTAGCACCGATCCTGCCGATCAAGTTAAGATCTTCGCGAATTATTTTGCAGATAAATCTGACAGAAAAATACTTTTGAAGTCTCTTGATTTTGTTAAGTCGTTGGTGGCAACTAAGACTTTCCAAAACAATGGAATAACTTTACGTCATTACGACATACCGAATTGTCGTAACACTGAGTCCGATTCCACGGAATATTGGGATTGTAACTTAAGTAACACAGCAGGAACATTCTACCATCCGGTTGGAACAGCTAAAATGGGCCATTCTGGTGATCCTACAGCAGTCGTCGATCATCGTCTCAAAGTACAAGGCATTCAAAGACTAAGAGTTATCGATGCTTCCATAATGCCGCAAATTACCAGTGGAAATACAAACGCACCAACGTTGATGATAGCCGAGAAAGGAGCAGATATGATAAAAGAGGATTGGCTCGAAAAGGATGAGCTATAAAAAAAAAATACTTGGAAGTCGTAAAGTAAACTTTAAGTTCTTACAAACCACGATGCTTCTTTAATAGGTAGCTCTTTCTGTTCTTACAATATTGAAAAAGAAACGTATCGCTTGTATAGAGATAATTAAAAATATTCAAATTGCTTTCTGGTATCTGGGTTCATTATAAATATAAATAATATTACGTAGGATTACGTAAATATTACATTACGAGGTTAATTTGAAAAAACTACATCGGAGTATGTTTGATGTTTATATCGTAAAAAAAATTGAATGCATGAAATATTATTACTTTACAAATACATTAGATAATATTTTCATTAGTTTATATACTAAACAAAAGTAGAAAGAAAAGAAAGATGTTTAGAATTATAGAAATGCATGTAGAATGTATATTATACAAAATTCATACAATAAACTATTTCTTTTCAAATATATAATTATATCCTAATTTTTTACGATAACACACTCAATAACAGAACTGTATAAAAAAACGTTGCTTAAATAATAAAATACCGATACATTATGTCGGTATAAATTATACTTATTCATGAATGTTAATTTACTTATTACGTATTCTATATGATATCGTTTAAGTATTAACAGATGTTCCTGCGAAACACACAATTTATATTAACTATTTTTTTTCTGATAAAATAGATAAAGAGCAAATGAAACAAATGATAGGTAAATTAGAATCTGGGTAAAAATGTCATATGGATATGAAAAACAAAAATAATAAAAATATAATTAATAAAAATATAAATAATAAAAATAATATAAATATAAATATATATTACAATACAACAAACTTATAAGATTCACATTGATTTGGATTACTTGAAAAAATACTATATTCAATACAGGCAATCTTTCTTTATACAATTAATTTTTCCGTATTAGAATCTAAATTGACGTTAACCATTTCAATAACTTAAAATCTTTGATAGCCAAGAATATTAAAAGTTCAAAAATTATTTGTATATTAATGATAATAACATTTATAAAAAAAAAATAGATAATATAGAAAATAGAAACTAGTTATGAGTACTTGTGATCCTTGGTTTACATTATTCTTATTAGATCAATAAGATACGTGCACATACCAAACTACTGTAATGTTATAAAAAAAGATTTTTTGGTTTTAATCACTACTGTGATAAGTCCACCTTCACAGAATGATTTAAAAACGATAGCGCTCACCTTGGTGATATCCACAATATTTATAAGCTCCAATGTCATACTTTTGTCTTCAGTCTGTCGTTTTGTCCAGCACAGTAAACTACTAAATTAGAATATATGGAAAACAATACTAATAAATATCATATTCTAAATGAATTGATTTATTGTTGAGGATAAAGAATGTCTTGATACAACGATCAATAGTGAAAATTGTGACATTCTTTGCTAAAAAAAAACCTTTTGGGAATGCAATGTTGTGTTCTAATCTTTAAGAAATCGCTAAAACAAAAAGCCAACGTATTACTAGTAAGTATTCTATTTTTCGTTCGTAATACTCTGAGTATTCTATATTTCAAAACGAAAAGCACATAGTATAATCTATTATACTAAATAACATCGATCGTCACTTTAATGATAAAAAAAATCATACAAAATGTGTCAGAAATTACATGCCGTTTACGAGCTCTAACTTCGAACTTACAAAATAAATAACATGAAATTTAAATATTTATGCATGTTCCATTCTAAATTAAATTTTATTTTTTTTCTGCACGTTTTCGCTCATATAATCTGAAAAATATTCTTAAAGTTATATTTTTTTTATTTTTTCAAAATTCGTTACAAATATATCGAATAAATTCATCAAGAAAAATTATACGTTTGAATACATTTGAATTTAATTAGTTGCAAACGATGATAAACGATATTTCCATTACCGGATAAACATTGAGTGATATATCATCCATATTTTATTCGTTTAAATAAATACATCATAATGATGTGTTTTATATGTTTTATATGTGTTATATGTTTTATATGTTTTATATGTTAAATTAACGATATAAATATTTGTTTATGCTTGACACAAAATTTAATAAATCGTATTATTAAAATCAGAAAAAAATCAAAATTACAAAAAAAAGCGTTTTGGACAACGCTAAATTTAAAATTCAAAACCAAACAAAAATAACATTTCATATAGAAAAAAATATCTTTAATATCTACAATGGTTTATAATTTTTCAGATTTCTGTGATTTAAATTTTATTTTGTCAATTTGTTATAGATGCTTTACAGTATCCTACGAAGAGTATCGTAATTATCAAAGAATATAAATCAATGAAAACTTCTTCACTAATTTTGCTATTCAATTGAAGAAAAACAACATAACCAAATTAATTAAAAGACAAAATCAATGACGACGAAGATTGTGGCAACTGTAGCAGCAGCACCATAGATATCAAACGAATATGACAGAGATCAGTATTAAATTAATTATCGCACCGATTCTTATATCTGCCTTAACTTACTTCCATTATCATCTAATAGACCCCGAAAATCAAACACAAGTTACGAAAGATCTATTAAAGGACTACGATTTCGTAGTGGTCGGCGGCGGTTCAGCTGGTAGCGTTGTTGTTAATAGATTAACGGAGAATCCAGAATGGAGTGTTCTTCTTTTAGAAGCAGGTGGTCACGAAACTGTCATCTCAGACGTACCGGCTTTGTCAACCTACTTGTATAACACCAAAATGGATTGGAAATATAGGACTGAAAACCAAGATAGTGCTTGTCAAGCGATGAAAGACAAACGTTGTTGTTGGCCCCGTGGAAAGGTGAGCTCTTTGATTCATCTGTGCCGTAAGATGAAGAATTTAATAACAATATCAATTATTTTATAATTACATTGCTGGTATGTTAAGTTATTGTGCGTCGTAATACAAAAAGTTTCGAGTATACGAAAAATACAATCAGTTTAAAGAGAAAATAATACTTTAATGATGAACAAAATTTTCAAATACTTTCGTAAATAAGGTCGTTTTCAAAGGAGAATAAATGGATGGTTGCTAATATAACATAACGGAATAAAAAAAAGTATCAGATAATTGAAGATACCAGAATGAAATGAATTTGCATTAAACTTATTATATATAATCTTCTAATGTCTATAAATCATAATGCGGTAGATATGCTATTAATGCATTCATTGATCAAACGAAACATCCATGTTGGATCCTTTGAATTAAACAGCTACCTGAACACGATTTATAACTATCAATACCTACAATTCTCAGGGTTCCACTATTAAAATGAATATAGATTTTGATTTGACACAGGACTACCTTGTCGGTCCTCAGTGAAAGAGTTTGCAATGATATAGTAGAACCGGCCGCGAATAAATCAATAACAAAAGCAATCATAAGCCACTGAAACAACTTTACTTATTTTCGTGAAAATAACTTAAAATTATTACATCATAATATTATTCTCTTGATTCTAGGTATTAGGTGGTTCAAGTGTACTTAATGCTATGCTGTATGTTCGTGGGAATCGTCGTGACTACGATCAATGGGAAAGCTTTGGTAACCCTGGTTGGGGATACGACGATGTACTCCCATACTTTAAAAAGTCACAGGACCAAAGAAACCCATATTTAGCTAGGAACACCAAATACCATAGCACAGGTGAGCTACGATTTTGATTGTTCATAAAATTAAGAAAATTGAGATGATTAATTTTTTGAAACAACAAGACATCACAAGTGATATTGAGTCATCCATTTATTCTCATGCAAAAATGAATTTTACAGGCGGTTATTTAACTGTTCAAGAGTGTCCTTATAATACGCCACTGGCTCCAGCATATCTTCAAGCTGCAGAAGAAATGGGTTATAACATCGTGGATATAAATGGCCAACAACAAATGGGTTTTACATTGCCTCAATATACAATGCGTAAGGGCGCTAGATGTAGTGCAGCCAAGGCATTCGTGCATCCCGTCAAATTTCGAAAGAATTTTCACTTATCGCTATGGAGTCATGTCACGCGTATTCTCATAGATCCAAGTACCAAAAGAGCATACGGTGTAGAATTTATTAGGAATGGTCGTGTTGAGACCGTATTTGCAAAGAAAGAAGTTATACTTTCGGCAGGTGCTATAAATACTCCTCAATTATTGATGCTGTCTGGAATCGGTGCAAAGAATCACCTCGAAGATCTTGATATTCCAGTGATCCAGGATTCACCTGGTGTTGGACAGAACCTTCAAGATCATATATCCATTATTGGTCTAACCTTCCTTATCGACCATGAGATCAGCATTGTTTATAATCGCTTATTGAATATAAACACCATATTGAAATATGTAATTACCGAGAATGGTCCTCTAACCTCGAGTATTGGTCTCGAAGTAGTAGGCTTTTTATCCACTAAATATGCTAATCAGACGGATGATTGGCCTGATGTAGAGTTAATAATTTCCTCTTCCTCGGTTAATAACGGAGGAAAACCATTTCAAGATGCTGTTTGTATAACGGATAATTTTTACAATGAAATGTATGAAGAGATCACTGGTCAAGATGGTTTCGATATTTTGCCTATGTTACTCAGACCCAAATCTCGTGGATATGTGAAATTAAGGTCGAAAAATCCGCTTGATTATCCGTTAATGTATCACAATTATTTAACGAATCCTGATGACGTAAATGTTTTACGAGAAGGAGTCAAAGCAGCAATTGCATTTGCTGAAACGAATAGCATGAAAAGATTTGGGACAAGATTTTACAGTAAGCCATTGCCAAATTGTAAACATCTTCCGATATTCACGGATGAGTATTGGGAATGTGCAATTCGACAATTCACAATGACAATTTATCATATGAGCTGCACTGCGAAAATGGGTCCACGATCTGATCCAATGGCGGTCGTAGATCCCTCTTTAAAAGTATATGGAGTAGAAGGACTTCGAGTGATCGATGCTTCAATCATGCCTACGATCATTAGTGGAAATATCAATGCACCTGTAATAATGATTGGTGAAAAAGGTTCGGATCTCATAAAGAAGGATTGGATGTCTAGACGAAAGAGAAGCAATGAGACTATCACAGGTTCTTTCAATCAATATTAGATATTTTGGATAGTTCATCGAATGAAAGTAAATTAAATATTTTTATTATTGCATACTGTAAAATAATTATGAGAACGAATTGAATGTTTTAAACACTTACGTTTTAAGGTTTACGTTACCTTTTTGTTTTTCTGACGTCAAGATCCAATCGTAATAACAGACAGTTCGAATAGTTCATCGAATGAAACCATATATTTTTCAAGTACGTAAATATACTGCATTAAAAGACTAGTTCTTCGATTGAATAATAGTAAACTAATTAATTGCATATTATTACTGATGCATCAAACAATTCAATGTAAAAATCAAAGATTAGCCATTATTTTTGAGAATTAGGCTTGCTATTTTTATCTTAAAAAACTGTTGAACAAAGTAACAATTACGAGTGAATATAGCGGAAGCATTTCATTTGCGAAAATGGGTAAGATAAATCTCTACATAAAGATGCCCGCCGGGGTAGACAACATTCTTATGAATGTTCATAACCGATCTATTGATGTTTAGAGTGATCCTGAAAACTTGGTAGCTATTAAACGTGACAGAATCAAAAGGAGTGATTCTATCCACTGGTTGACAGCGAAATATTATTCTGAGATAAAAATACCACAGGTGGACGATTTACCTTTAGGAAAAAAATCTTAAGAATCACCTAAACTGATAAGCAATTCAATTGGCAAACATTAATTCCACGAAAATAACACCATTTCTGATTCATATAAAAGATATTACTTATGATTATCAGTTGAAAACAACTAAAGAGTAGATCACGATCGGAGATGTTGATCTACTTGAATTTCTTAACCTAATCGACCAATAACCGAAATATCTCGAAATATAGATTTTCTTTACTCATGTACCAAAACAGCAGGTCTATCAATTCTAACTGCTTTTGAAAATCATCGACGTTTCAGACGAACTAATCGACAATATGATTAATGTCTTTATGCAGAAAGACATTATCTTTATGTGACCGGTTTTATTGAGCCCAAAGAGCAGGAATGAAATTAAATTACGTAGCACCGATCCTGCCGATCAAGTTAAGATATTCACGAATTATTTTGCTAATAAATCTGACAGAAAAATACTTTTGAAGCCTCTTGATTTTGTTAAGTCGTTGGTGGCAACTAAGACTTTCCAAAACAATGGAATAACTTTACGTCATTACGACATACCGAATTGTCGTAACACTGAATCCGATTCCACGGAATATTGGGATTGTAACTTAAGTAACACAGCAGGAACATTCTACCATCCGGTTGGAACAGCTAAAATGCGCCATTCTGGTGATCCTACAGCAGTCGTCGATCCTCGTCTCAAAGTACAAGGCATTCAAAGACTAAGAGTTACCGATGCTTCCATAATGCCGCAAATTACCAGTGGAAATACAAACGCACCAACGTTGATGATAGCCGAGAAAGGAGCAGATATGATAAAAAAGGATTGGCTCGGAAAGGATGTGCTATAAAAAAAAAAAATAATTGAAAGTCGTAAAGTAAACTTTAAGTTCTTACAAACCACGATGCTTCTTTGATAGGTAGCTCTTTCTGTTCTTACAATATTGAAAAAGAAACGTGTATAGAGATAATTAAATATATTCAAATTGCTTTCTGGTATCTGGGTTCATTATAAATATAAATAATATTACGTAGGATTACGTAAATATTACATTACGAGGTTAATTTGAAAAAACTGCATCGGAGTATGTTTGATGTTTATATCCTAAAAAAAATTGAATGCATGAAATATTATTACTTTACAAATACATTAGATAATATTTTCATTAGTTTATATACTAAACAAAAGCAGAAAGAAAAGAAAGATGTTTAGAATTATAGAAATGCATGTAGAATGTATATTATACAAAATTCATACAATAAACTATTTCTTTTCAAATATATAATTATATCCTAATTTTTTACAATAACACACTCAATAACAGAAATGTATAAAAAAACGTTACTTAAATAATAAAATACCGATACATTATGTCGGTATAAATTATACTCATTAATGAATGTTAATTTACTTATTACGTATTCTATATGATATCGTTTAAGTATTAACAGATGTTCCGAAACACACAATTTATACTAATTATTTTTTTTTTGATAAAATAGATAAAGAGCAAATGAAACAAATGATAGGTAAATTAGAATCTGGGTACGTATGGTCCTTGATTATGAAAATAACGATAAAAGTGAATTTATTCGTCAATAAAAATGTCATATGGATATAAAAACCAAAAATAATATTAATATAAATATATATTACAATACAACAAATTTATAAGATTCACATTGATATGGATCACTTGAAAAAATACTATATTCAATACAGGCAATCTTTCTTTATACAATTAAAATTTCTTCTGTATTAGAATTTGAATTGACGTTAACCATTTCAATAACTTAAAATCTTTGATTGCCAAGAATATTAAAAGTTCAAAAATTATTTGTATATTAATGATAATAACATTTATAAAAAAAATAGATAATATAAAAAATAGAAACTAGTTATGAATACTTGTGATCCTTGGTTTACATTATTCTTATTAGATCAATAAGATACCTGCACATAGCAAACTACTGTAATGTTATAAAAAAAAATTTTTTGGTTTTAATCACTACTGTGATAAGTTCACCTTCACAGAATGATTTAAAAACGATATCAGAGATCTTGGTGATAACCACAATATTTATAGGCTCCATCGTCATACTTTTGACTTCAGTCTGTCGTTTTGTCCGGCACAGTAAACTACAAATTAGAATATATGGAAAACTATACTAATAAATATCATATTCTAAATTAATTGATTTATTGTTGAGGATAAAGAATGTCTTGATACAACGATCAATAGTGAAAATTGTGACATTCTTTTCTAAAAAAAACTTTTCGGTAACGCAATGTTGTATTTTAATTTTTAAGAAATCGTTATAACAAAAAGGCTACGTATTACTGGTGAGTATTCTATTTCAAAAGGAAAAGTTATAGTATAATCTATTATACTAAATAACATCAATCGTCACTTTGATAATAAAAAAAAATCACACAAAATGTGTCAGAAATTACATGTCGTTTACGAGCTCTAACTTCGAACTTACAAACTAAATAACATGAAATTTAAATATTTACGCATATTCCATTCTAAATTAAATTTTATTTTTTTTCTGCACGTTTTCGCTCATATAATCTGAAAAATATCCTTCAAGTTATATTTTTTTGATTTTTTCCAAATTCGTTACAAATATATCGAATAAATTCATCAAGAAAAATTATACGTTTGAATGCGCCTACAATGAAAAAAAAGAAACATTTTTTAAACAATTACAAAAAATTACAAAAACAAGTACAAAAATTGTTAAAATATATGGAAATTTTTTATACAAATAAAGAATATTTTACATTTGCTACTAGCGCTTGCAATATATCAAGTAATATATCAATGGGTGTTGGTTTTTCTTTTTGATTTCAACTTTCCAATTGAAATTGCAACAAAGAATCTAGTTGACTTCATTTTGTTAGCATATTTCAAGCCAATTACATTTACTTAATGTAAAGAATAAATATGATTACGTGTAGACATAGCCAACATATTGACAAAATCCCCGGGAAATTTGCAGAATATTTTATTGATGATATTAACAATCCTTTACGACGTAATCAATATTAAAATACTCTACAATATAAGATAAGATTTATTCTATATTCTCATGTAATTTCACTTCTCACTATTTTCTCGCGCAAACCTAGCATCTTTTTTGAGTTCCTAAAATCTGAGAAATAGAAATACTATTTTTTACTATATTTCAAAATTTGTTTTCTGACGTCGCTTTCAAAAATATAAAATTTATCAAATTTCTCATAAACAATTAAATTTCTGTAGCGAGTCGGTGATGTTTAAGAATATTTATTTAAAATACATACACCAATGTTTAACAATAAATTCATAAACAGAATCAAAATGATTTGTAATTCGTTCTAATAATTACCCAAAATTAGTAGATCTTAGTTTTAGAATTATTTTCTGATATTAATTGAAAAGTATAAATGATTATTTTTATTAAATGGTTTTCATATTTCTGTCTTGCTTTTTGTATAAAATTTATACGTATTATACAAACCTATATATACCGAAATATGTCGTTTCGATCCCGCATAAGATTATAGATAAACATTTTATTGCATTAGGATTTTGGAAGTTTTTCATAAAATTTCCATATAATTTAAAGTATATTTTTAGAAAACAAAATATATTTCAAAACTTGACGTAATATTCTTAGATTTGGTTCTTTTGATAAAAAAATTAAAAAAGCTAGTGACAAACAGACAAATTTGTATGGATATCATAAATGTAAAAGAAGATCATTCATCGTGAATAGCAAAACACATTACAAATGAGGAATTGAAAGAATAGATATAGAAAAACCATTTGGTTAAAAAATAGACTGAGAAAGTTAGATACACTATTGGTTGATTTTACAAGTACTTGGAATTATTTTAAATTTGATAATATTTAGATGAAAAATTTAAAGACTTAGAAAAAATTAAAAATATAAAGTCTTCTTAATTTAGTTAGCTGATGAACTTTTCAATAAATAAAAAGCTTTAATAGGACCATTCTTAAAAGAAACAGAACTAATGCTTTCTGTAGATTAGCAATGAAACATAAAGATAGGTATTTTGCTAGAACGAAAACGATATCAAATAAAATATTACACAAAATAATATTCGCGGTAAATGTGATAAATGTATATGTGGTAAATATATCGCTGGAAATATTTGATTTTGAAAAAAATGTTTAATGATAGACATAAAAAAAAACTCCTATTTTCAGACTAAAAAAAAGGATCTCTAATTATTTTTAAAATTCATATATTCATTTTTAAATGAATTCGACTTTAAATTTTCGCAAAAATGAAACAGAAAAATAAAATAAAAATGAACGTCTCTTATGAACAACGTCCTCTTTTTATAAATATTTTAACTCGCCAATAAAAGTAAGTATACGTAAATCCACGGTAGATCTGATAGAACTAATATAACAATTCACAAGCCTAAGTCTTAATAAATAATTTATCAATTAACTTTTAACTCTCCTTCTATTACAAAACAATTTAAATTTTGTCATGAAACAGTGTTGTAAACCATTCACGAGCATACATAATAGCGTCTCAATCAGGCAAAGTAACAAGGAGGCTCATTTTTTAAATTGATCATGCAACTTTGAGAAGGCCCTTCTTTTATACTGATTGTACAGATTTGGTAGAGTATCATTTCTCGACCGATCAAATAAAGCGGTCGCGGTAGATTTGAAAGGCTACATATATTTTATATATAAAAAAAAAAAAAAAAAAAAATAAATAAATAAATAAATAAATAAATAAATAAGTAAAACGTGAATACTGCGAAGTACATTGTATATTTATTCTAAGAAAACTTGTAATGTTGATAACGTTTCAATCTGTGAAAGTTGTAATAAAGTTGAGAAACAGTTTATTTGACCGGTAATGTTAGGGTTAGTGTCAATGTTCCTTGAAACTTTTTTAAAATAATGCGATAAGAAAATCTAATTACTTAGTATCAACATTACATAAATATTTCTATCCGTTAATAATCAGTATATATAGAACATCACTCTAGCGTTAGTGATTACAAGACTAAATAGATGTTATTATGACTCATTTATAAATGATAAAACAATACTTTCGAAGATAATCATATTTTTTGTTATTATTTAATTACTTGCAAACGATGATAAACGATATTTCCATTACCGGATAACCATTGAGTGATATATCATCCATATTTTATTCGTTTAAATAAATACATCATAATGATGTGTTTTATATGTTTTATATGTGTTATATGTTTTATATGTTTTATATGTTAAATTAACGATATAAATATTTGTTTATGCTTGACACAAAATTTAATAAATCGTATTATTAAAATCAGAAAAAAATCAAAATTACAAAAAAAAGCGTTTTGGACAACGCTAAATTTAAAATTCAAAACCAAACAAAAATAACATTTCATATAGAAAAAAATATCTTTAATATCTACAATGGTTTATAATTTTTCAGATTTCTGTGATTTAAATTTTATTTTGTCAATTTGTTATAGATGCTTTACAGTATCCTACGAAGAGTATCGTAATTATCAAAGAATATAAATCAATGAAAACTTCTTCACTAATTTTGCTATTCAATTGAAGAAAAACAACATAACCAAATTAATTAAAAGACAAAATCAATGACGACGAAGATTGTGGCAACTGTAGCAGCAGCACCATAGATATCAAACGAATATGACAGAGATCAGTATTAAATTAATTATCGCACCGATTCTTATATCTGCCTTAACTTACTTCCATTATCATCTAATAGACCCCGAAAATCAAACACAAGTTACGAAAGATCTATTAAAGGACTACGATTTCGTAGTGGTCGGCGGCGGTTCAGCTGGTAGCGTTGTTGTTAATAGATTAACGGAGAATCCAGAATGGAGTGTTCTTCTTTTAGAAGCAGGTGGTCACGAAACTGTCATCTCAGACGTACCGGCTTTGTCAACCTACTTGTATAACACCAAAATGGATTGGAAATATAGGACTGAAAACCAAGATAGTGCTTGTCAAGCGATGAAAGACAAACGTTGTTGTTGGCCCCGTGGAAAGGTGAGCTCTTTGATTCATCTGTGCCGTAAGATGAAGAATTTAATAACAATATCAATTATTTTATAATTACATTGCTGGTATGTTAAGTTATTGTGCGTCGTAATACAAAAAGTTTCGAGTATACGAAAAATACAATCAGTTTAAAGAGAAAATAATACTTTAATGATGAACAAAATTTTCAAATACTTTCGTAAATAAGGTCGTTTTCAAAGGAGAATAAATGGATGGTTGCTAATATAACATAACGGAATAAAAAAAAGTATCAGATAATTGAAGATACCAGAATGAAATGAATTTGCATTAAACTTATTATATATAATCTTCTAATGTCTATAAATCATAATGCGGTAGATATGCTATTAATGCATTCATTGATCAAACGAAACATCCATGTTGGATCCTTTGAATTAAACAGCTACCTGAACACGATTTATAACTATCAATACCTACAATTCTCAGGGTTCCACTATTAAAATGAATATAGATTTTGATTTGACACAGGACTACCTTGTCGGTCCTCAGTGAAAGAGTTTGCAATGATATAGTAGAACCGGCCGCGAATAAATCAATAACAAAAGCAATCATAAGCCACTGAAACAACTTTACTTATTTTCGTGAAAATAACTTAAAATTATTACATCATAATATTATTCTCTTGATTCTAGGTATTAGGTGGTTCAAGTGTACTTAATGCTATGCTGTATGTTCGTGGGAATCGTCGTGACTACGATCAATGGGAAAGCTTTGGTAACCCTGGTTGGGGATACGACGATGTACTCCCATACTTTAAAAAGTCACAGGACCAAAGAAACCCATATTTAGCTAGGAACACCAAATACCATAGCACAGGTGAGCTACGATTTTGATTGTTCATAAAATTAAGAAAATTGAGATGATTAATTTTTTGAAACAACAAGACATCACAAGTGATATTGAGTCATCCATTTATTCTCATGCAAAAATGAATTTTACAGGCGGTTATTTAACTGTTCAAGAGTGTCCTTATAATACGCCACTGGCTCCAGCATATCTTCAAGCTGCAGAAGAAATGGGTTATAACATCGTGGATATAAATGACCAACAACAAATGGGTTTTACATTGCCTCAATATACAATGCGCAAGGGCGCTAGATGTAGTGCAGCCAAGGCATACGTGCGTCCCATCAAATTTCGAAAGAATTTTCACTTATCGCTATGGAGTCATGTCACGCGTATTCTCATAGATCCAAGTACCAAAAGAGCATACGGTGTAGAATTTATTAGGAATGGTCGTGTTGAGACCGTATTTGCAAAGAAAGAAGTTATACTTTCGGCAGGTGCTATAAATACTCCTCAATTATTGATGCTGTCTGGAATCGGTGCAAAGAATCACCTCGAAGATCTTGATATTCCAGTGATCCAGGATTCACCTGGTGTTGGACAGAACCTTCAAGATCATATATCCATTATTGGTCTAACCTTCCTTATCGACCATGAGATCAGCATTGTTTATAATCGCTTATTGAATATAAACACCATATTGAAATATGTAATTACCGAGAATGGTCCTCTAACCTCGAGTATTGGTCTCGAAGTAGTAGGCTTTTTATCCACTAAATATGCTAATCAGACGGATGATTGGCCTGATGTAGAGTTAATAATTTCCTCTTCCTCGGTTAATAACGGAGGAAAACCATTTCAAGATGCTGTTTGTATAACGGATAATTTTTACAATGAAATGTATGAAGAGATCACTGGTCAAGATGGTTTCGATATTTTGCCTATGTTACTCAGACCCAAATCTCGTGGATATGTGAAATTAAGGTCGAAAAATCCGCTTGATTATCCGTTAATGTATCACAATTATTTAACGAATCCTGATGACGTAAATGTTTTACGAGAAGGAGTCAAAGCAGCAATTGCATTTGCTGAAACGAATAGCATGAAAAGATTTGGGACAAGATTTTACAGTAAGCCATTGCCAAATTGTAAACATCTTCCGATATTCACGGATGAGTATTGGGAATGTGCAATTCGACAATTCACAATGACAATTTATCATATGAGCTGCACTGCGAAAATGGGTCCACGATCTGATCCAATGGCGGTCGTAGATCCCTCTTTAAAAGTATATGGAGTAGAAGGACTTCGAGTGATCGATGCTTCAATCATGCCTACGATCATTAGTGGAAATATCAATGCACCTGTAATAATGATTGGTGAAAAAGGTTCGGATCTCATAAAGAAGGATTGGATGTCTAGACGAAAGAGAAGCAATGAGACTATCACAGGTTCTTTCAATCAATATTAGATATTTTGGATAGTTCATCGAATGAAAGTAAATTAAATATTTTTATTATTGCATACTGTAAAATAATTATGAGAACGAATTGAATGTTTTAAACACTTACGTTTTAAGGTTTACGTTACCTTTTTGTTTTTCTGACGTCAAGATCCAATCGTAATAACAGACAGTTCGAATAGTTCATCGAATGAAACCATATATTTTTCAAGTACGTAAATATACTGCATTAAAAGACTAGTTCTTCGATTGAATAATAGTAAACTAATTAATTGCATATTATTACTGATGCATCAAACAATTCAATGTAAAAATCAAAGATTAGCCATTATTTTTGAGAATTAGGCTTGCTATTTTTATCTTAAAAAACTGTTGAACAAAGTAACAATTACGAGTGAATATAGCGGAAGCATTTCATTTGCGAAAATGGGTAAGATAAATCTCTACATAAAGATGCCCGCCGGGGTAGACAACATTCTTATGAATGTTCATAACCGATCTATTGATGTTTAGAGTGATCCTGAAAACTTGGTAGCTATTAAACGTGACAGAATCAAAAGGAGTGATTCTATCCACTGGTTGACAGCGAAATATTATTCTGAGATAAAAATACCACAGGTGGACGATTTACCTTTAGGAAAAAAATCTTAAGAATCACCTAAACTGATAAGCAATTCAATTGGCAAACATTAATTCCACGAAAATAACACCATTTCTGATTCATATAAAAGATATTACTTATGATTATCAGTTGAAAACAACTAAAGAGTAGATCACGATCGGAGATGTTGATCTACTTGAATTTCTTAACCTAATCGACCAATAACCGAAATATCTCGAAATATAGATTTTCTTTACTCATGTACCAAAACAGCAGGTCTATCAATTCTAACTGCTTTTGAAAATCATCGACGTTTCAGACGAACTAATCGACAATATGATTAATGTCTTTATGCAGAAAGACATTATCTTTATGTGACCGGTTTTATTGAGCCCAAAGAGCAGGAATGAAATTAAATTACGTAGCACCGATCCTGCCGATCAAGTTAAGATATTCACGAATTATTTTGCTAATAAATCTGACAGAAAAATACTTTCGAAGCCTCTTGATTTTGTTAAGTCGTTGGTGGCAACTAAGACTTTCCAAAACAATGGAATAACTTTACTTCATTACGACATACCGAATTGTCGTAACACTGAATCCGATTCCACGGAATATTGGGATTGTAACTTAAGTAACACAGCAGGAACATTCTACCATCCGGTTGGAACAGCTAAAATGCGCCATTCTGGTGATCCTACAGCAGTCGTCGATCATCGTCTCAAAGTACAAGGCATTCAAAGACTAAGAGTTACCGATGCTTCCATAATGCCGCAAATTACCAGTGGAAATACAAACGCACCAACGTTGATGATAGCCGAGAAAGGAGCAGATATGATAAAAAAGGATTGGCTCGGAAAGGATGTGCTATAAAAAAAAAAAAATAATTGAAAGTCGTAAAGTAAACTTTAAGTTCTTACAAACCACGATGCTTCTTTAATAGGTAGCTCTTTCTGTTCTTACAATATTGAAAAAGAAACGTATCGCTTGTATAGAGATAATTAAAAATATTCAAATTGCTTTCTGGTATCTGGGTTCATTATAAATATAAATAATATTACGTAGGATTACGTAAATATTACATTACGAGGTTAATTTGAAAAAACTACATCGGAGTATGTTTGATGTTTATATCCTAAAAAAAATTGAATGCATGAAATATTATTACTTTACAAATACATTAGATAATATTTTCATTAGTTTATATACTAAACAAAAGCAGAAAGAAAAGAAAGATGTTTAGAATTATAGAAATGCATGTAGAATGTATATTATACAAAATTCATACAATAAACTATTCCTTTTCAAATATATAAATATATCCTAATTTTTTACAATAACACACTCAATAACAGAAATGTATAAAAAAACGTTACTTAAATAATAAAATACCGATACATTATGTCAGTATAAATTATACTCATTAATGAATGTTAATTTACTTATTAAGTATTCTATATGATATCGTTTAAGTATTAACAGATGTTCCTGCGAAACACACAATTTATACTAATTATTTTTTTTTTTTGATAAAATAGATAAAGAGCAAATGAAACAAATGATAGGTAAATTAGAATCTGGGTACGTATGGTCCTTGATTATGAAAATAACGATAAAAGTGAATTTATTCGTCAATAAAAATGTCATATGGATATGAAAACCAAAAATAATATTAATATAAATATATATTACAATACAACAAATTTATAAGATTCACATTGATTTGGATCACTTGAAAAAATACTATATTCAATACAGGCAATCTTTCTTTATACAATTGAAATTTCTTCTGTATTAGAATTTGAATTGACGTTAACCATTTCAATAATTTAAAATCTTTGATTGCCAAGAATATTAAAAGTTCAAAAATTATTTGTATATTAATGATAATAACATTTATAAAAAAAAAATAGATAACATAAAAAATAGAAACAAGTTATGAGTACTTGTGATCCTTGGTTTACGTTATTCTTATTAGATCAATAAGATACGTGCACATAGCAAACTACTGTAATGTTATAAAAAAAAATTTTTTGGTTTTAATCACTACTGTGATAAGTTCACCTTCACAGAATGATTTAAAAACGATATCAGAGATCTTGGTGATAACCACAATACTTATAGGCTCCATCGTCATACTTTTGACTTCAGTCTGTCCTTTTGTCCGGCACAGTAAACTACAAATTAGAATATATGGAAAACTATACTAATAAATATCATATTCTAAATTAATTGATTTATTGTTGAGGATAAAGAATGTCTTGATACAACGATCAATAGTGAAAATTGTGACATTCTTTTCTAAAAAAAACTTTTCGGTAACGCAATGTTGTATTTTAATTTTTAAGAAATCGTTATAACAAAAAGGCTACGTATTACTGGTGAGTATTCTATTTCAAAAGGAAAAGTTATAGTATAATCTATTATACTAAATAACATCAATCGTCACTTTAATGATAAAAAAAAATCACACAAAATGTGTCAGAAATTACATGTCGTTTACGAGCTCTAACTTCGAACTTACAAACTAAATAACATGAAATTTAAATATTTACGCATATTCCATTCTAAATTAAATTTTATTTTTTTTCTGCACGTTTTCGCTCATATAATCTGAAAAATATCCTTAAAGTTATATTTTTTTGATTTTTTCCAAATTCGTTACAAATATATCGAATAAATTCATCAAGAAAAATTATACGTTTGAATGCGCCTACAATGAAAAAAAAGAAACATTTTTTAAACAATTACAAAAAATTACAAAAACAAGTACAAAAATTGTTAAAATATATGGAAATTTTTTATACAAATAAAGAATATTTTACATTTGCTAATAGCGCTTGCAATATATCAAGTAATATATCAATGGGTGTTGGTTTTTCTTTTTGATTTCAACTTTCCAATTGAAATTGCAACAAAGAATCTAGTTGATTTCATTTTGTTAGCATATTTCAAGCCAATTACATTTACTTAATGTAAAGAATAAATATGATTACGTGTAGACATAGCCAACATATTGACAAAATCCCCGGGAAATTTGCAGAATATTTTATTGATGATATTAACAATCCTTTACGACGTAATCAATATTAAAATACTCTACAATATAAGATAAGATTTATTCTATATTCTCATGTAATTTCACTTCTCACTATTTTCTCGCGCAAACCTTGCATCTTTTTTGAGTTCCTAAAATCTGAGAAATAGAAATACTATTTTTTACTATATTTCAAAATTTGTTTTCTGACGTCGCTTTCAAAAATATAAAATTTATCAAATTTCTCATAAACAATTAAATTTCTGTAGCGAGTCGGTGATGTTTAAGAATATTTATTTAAAATACATACACCAATGTTTAACAATAAATTCATAAACAGAATCAAAATGATTTGTAATTCGTTCTAATAATTACCCAAAATTAGTAGATCTTAGTTTTAGAATTATTTTCTGATATTAATTGAAAAGTATAAATGATTATTTTTATTAAATGGTTTTCATATTTCTGTCTTGCTTTTTGTATAAAATTTATACGTATTATACAAACCTATATATACCGAAATATGTCGTTTCGATCCCGCATAAGATTATAGATAAACATTTTATTGCATTAGGATTTTGGAAGTTTTTCATAAAATTTCCATATAATTTAAAGTATATTTTTAGAAAACAAAATATATTTCAAAACTTGACGTAATATTCTTAGGTTTGGTTCTTTTGATAAAAAAATTAAAAAAGCTAGTGACAAACAGACAAATTTGTATGGATATCATAAATGTAAAAGAAGATCATTCATCGTGAATAGCAAAACACATTACAAATGAGGAATTGAAAGAATAGATATAGAAAAACCATTTGGTTAAAAAATAGACTGAGAAAGTTAGATACACTATTGGTTGATTTTACAAGTACTTGGAATTATTTTAAATTTGATAATATTTAGATGAAAAATTTAAAATATAAAGACTTAGAAAAAATTAAAAATATAAAGTCTTCTTAATTTAGTTAGCTGATGAACTTTTCAATAAATAAAAAGCTTTAATAGGACCATTCTTAAAAGAAACAGAACTAATGCTTTCTGTAGATTAGCAATGAAACATAAAGATAGGTATTTCGCTAGAACGAAAACGATATCAAATAAAATATTACACAAAATAATATTCGCGATAAATGTGATAAATGTATATGTGGTAAATATATCGCTGGAAATATTTGATTTTGAAAAAAATGTTTAATGATAGACATAAAAAAAAACTCCTATTTTCAGACTAAAAAAAAGGATCTCTAATTATTCAGAAAATTCTTACACGAATTTACAATTTTCAATTGTGGAATAAATAAGACGGAAAAATATGCAAAAATGAATGTATCTTCTGATTGATTTCATCTTTTCATTAACATTTTGATCCTCCAGTAAAAATAAATATATGTAAGAAGATAGATCTGATAATTTTAATACATCAGTCCACAGCCTTAAGTACTAATTTACTAATCCTATAAGTAACTTAACTTTCTTTCTGATTCTTACAAAACAATTTAAAATTTATCAATTATCTTGATTTTCTTTCTAGCTCTTACAAAAGAATGACTTATCTTAATGTTCCTTTGAAATCTTACAAAATAATGCGATATGACAGGCTAATGACATAGTATACACATCATTTAAATATTTCCATCAGTTAATAATCAACATATGTAACACATCATTCCAGTTAGTGATTACAAAGCAAAAATTATTATTTCTAATTTATAAAAGATAAAACAATTTTAAAAGATAATGATATTTTTCGATTTTATTTTATTACTTGCAAATAGTGATAAAAGGTATAGTTTCATTACCAGATACCTACTGAGTAATGTAACATTTACATTTTATTTATTTGATTAAATAAGACAATGATATTTGTTATAAGTTATTATAACCAATCATATACATATTTGTTTATGACTGATACAAAATTTAATCCTTTAAATTTTTAAAATCCGGAAAAAACACAATTTAAAAAACGATGCATTTTACTTTGAACGTTTTGGACAACGTTAAAAGTAAAATGCGTATAAAAAAGAAATAGTATTTCACTTTAAAAATATTACTTGATACCTTAAATCCACAAGTTTCATAATTTTTCAAATTTCTGTGTTTCAGATTTTATTTTGTCGGCTTGTTACAGATGCATTACAGTATCCTACGAAGAATACAGTTACTATCGAAAAAAAAGCAAAGCAATGAGAACGTCGTCATTAAACATATTAACAAAATATTAACACAAATATTTAAATAATGTTAAAAAATGATCAGATATAATCGAGAATAAAAATAATTCAAAAAACCAATAAAATTATTGATTAAGCTAAAAATCCTGTTTGTGGGATTACTCCAGTTTCGAATTGATATAAGTGAAAAACGACAAACCATTGATAGGTTAATAAAGCTTTATTACAAGTTATTGATTCAGAAGAATTACTACATCCCCGTTTTCCTTCAATTGAAGAAAAAACAAGCTTAATAAAAATTAATATCAATGATGACGAACCTTGCGGCAACTGCAGCAGCAGCGATACAAACAAATATGTTTGGCCTCGGTATCGGAAAACTGAGTATCATACCGATTCTAATATCAGCCTTAACTTACTTCAATTATTATCTAATGGATCCCGAAAATCAACCACGAGTCACAAAAAATCTATTAAAAGAATACGATTTCGTAGTGGTCGGTGGCGGTTCAGCTGGTAGCGTTGTTGTTAACAGATTAACAGAGAATCCAGAATGGAGTGTACTTCTTTTAGAAGCGGGTGGTCACGAAACCGAGATTACGGACGTACCGATTTTGTCTCTCTATTTACACAAAAGCAAATTGGATTGGAAGTATAGAGCTCAACCACAAGATAGTGCTTGCCAAGCGATGAATGATCAACGTTGTTGCTGGACCCGAGGGAAGGTAACTCCTTTGATTTAGCCGCGATGCAAGATAGTTAAAGAAATCGACAACAATAACAATTATTTCATAATGAAGACTACTAGAATGTTAGATTACCAAAGAATTATAATGTAAAGAAGGTCAAATATACGTAAGATAAAATCAGGTCGAAGAGAAAGTAATCCGACGCGGTAAATATGAGAAACTCGTTCGTGGATACGGTCATTTACAAATAAAAACAAACAGATGGTTGCTACTATAACGTAACAGCTTTAAGAAATTAAAAAAAAAAACAACAAATAGTTGAAGATACTATAGAATAAATACATGAGTATTTCTTCTAACCCATATTTAATTAAATTATCTAATAATTCATTTATTTATTGATCAAACGGAATGTCTATGTTAGGCCAAACCTACGAAAATAAAATGCAATAATATATATTATATAAATTAATACAATCACAGATCATTACAATCCTTCAGCTTAATCTCGAAAAAACTACTTAAGATTATTATATTATCTTATTGGATTGATTTTAGGTATTAGGTGGTTCAAGCGTAATTAATACCATGTTGTATATTCGTGGGAATCGTCGTGACTTTGATCAATGGGAAAGCTTTGGTAACCCTGGTTGGGGATACGACGATGTACTCCCATACTTTAAAAAGTCACAGGATCAAAGAAACCCATATTTAGCGCGAAACACTAAATACCATAACACAGGTGAACTACGATTTTGATTATTCATAAAATTAAGAAAACTGAGATGATTAATTTTTTGAAACAAGACATTACAAGTGATATTGAGACATCTATTCATTCTCATGCACAAATGGATTTTACAGGTGGTTATTTAACTATTCAAGAGTGTCCTTATAAGACGCCACTGGCTCCAGCATATCTTCAAGCTGCAGAAGAGATGGGTTATAACATCGTGGATGTAAATGGCCAACAACAAATGGGCTTTGCATTGCCTCAATATACAATGCGCAAGGGCGCTAGATGTAGTGCAGCCAAGGCATTCGTGCGTCCCATCAAATTTCGAAAGAATTTTCACCTATCGTTATGGAGTCATGTCACGCGTGTTCTCATAGATCCAAGTACCAAAAGAGCATACGGTGTAGAATTTATTAAGAATGATCGTGTTGAGACCGTATTTGCGAAGAAAGAAGTTATACTTTCGGCAGGTGCTATAAATACTCCTCAATTATTGATGCTGTCTGGAATCGGTGCAAAGAATCACCTCGAAGATCTTGGTATTCCAGTGATTCAAAATTCACCTGGTGTTGGACAGAACCTTCAAGATCATATATCCATTGTTGGTTTAACCTTCCTTATCGACCACGAGATCAGCTTTGTTTATAATCGCATATTAAATATAAACTCAATATTGAAATATGCAATTACCGAAAACGGTCCACTAACTTCGAGTATTGGTATCGATGCAGTAGGCTTTTTATCAACCAAATATGCTAATCAGACGGATGATTGGCCTGATATAGAGTTCCTAATTACCTCCGCCACTATAAATAGCTCAGGTAAAGTACCAAAAAATGCTTTTTGCTTAAAGGACAATTTTTACGATGAAGTCTATGGAGAGATCACAAATCGTGATAGTTTTCATATCATTCCTATGATTCTAAGACCTAAATCTTTAGGTTATATACATTTAAAGTCAAAAGATCCACTCGATTACCCATTAATGTATCACAATTATTTAACGAATCCTGATGACGTAAATGTTTTACGAGAAGGAGTCAAAGCAGCAATTGCATTTGCTGAAACGAGTAGCATGAAAAGATTTGGGACAAGATTTTACAGTAAGCCATTGCCAAATTGTAAACATCTTCCGATGTTCACGGATGAGTATTGGGAATGTGCAATTCGACAATTCACAATGACAATTTATCATATGAGCTGCACTGCGAAAATGGGTCCACGATCTGATCCAATGGCGGTCGTAGATCCCTCTTTAAAAGTATATGGAGTAGAAGGACTTCGAGTGATCGATGCTTCGATCATGCCTACGATCACTAGTGGAAATATCAATGCACCTGTAATAATGATTGGTGAAAAAGGTTCGGATCTCATAAAGAAGGATTGGATGTTTAGACGAAAGAGAAGCAATGAGACTATCTCAGGTTCTTTCAATCAATATTAGATATTTAGGATAGTTCATCGAATGAAAGTAAATTAAATATTTTTATTATTGCGTCATATAAAATAATTACGAGAATAGATAGAAAGCTTTAATAACTTGTTTTTAAGGCTTACGTTTCCTATTTCTTTTTCTGTTGTAAGAATGGTGTTCTATAAAATTAATATGTGCTTAATCAAAATCTAGTTATATCATTTAGCTATCGTAAACAAATTAACTGTAGAATTATTAGAGATAATTTATATTTTTAAAAACTTGACAATCCAATTTGTTTGCATGTTTCCCATTTGGAGTTAACATTCATTACATCTTGGGACTTTACAATGTATAACTGTAGTTGGCCCTCTTGATTCTTTTCCTTTTTTCTTATTTTGTAATTTTTTATCTAAGATAGGATGTTCTCCCTTTTACATCCTTATCATTCTTAACATAAACAAGAAGCAATTTCTGTTTTATAATCTTGATGATTATATATTATATAATAGGCAATCTCTTCTTATATTAATGCCAAGCATGTATTATTTTTAAATTCAATAATAGACGCCAATATCAATGATATCATCTTTTTGAATGAATTTTTATCCGGTACAAAGCAATTAATCAGTCGACTAAGTTTACCTCATCCGTGAATTTATTCTGTAACGCTACTATATTTGGGGTTTCAAAATCAATACTTTCCTAAGTCTTTTTGTCCCATCTCTTCAATGTACTTGTTAACTGTGCTCTATAATATATATTTATTAAAGTCACACCATCTATATTTATGCAGTATTTTTCTTAACCGGTTTTTTTTCGCTACTTCATTAGAATGAACAATTTTCAATTTATTTGACCGTACAGTTGCAATGTTTTGAATTTCGATTTTGTTAAGTTCTACTACTAAATCAAAACTTTTTAACAACAATTGTCTAAATAAATTTTGTGAAATAATATTCTTAATACAATTTTGGAGAAAATCAACGCTCTCATTAATTTTTTTTTCTATCTGCGCAAAACCTATCATTCCTACGAACATAGAATTTTTGAAGATATCGCAGTATGATAATATTACCAATTGCCACAAATTCTTCACATAACAGAATATTTATTATCAATCTCTGTATAATTATATGATTGAACAATTTAATCAAATTTTAATAAAATTTATTGTACGCCGGAGAGTTGATGTCAGTACGCGTAAATAAATCTTAGTGATTAGAATAAAAATCTTTTTGAGATTTTACTTCATTATTTACAAAATAAACATAACACCTACAAATTATTGGATTATCTATGTAGAAATAACGTGGCAGCATACTACTCTGTCAAGCAATTAAAAAGTGCAGCAGGTATCAACGAGTTTTTCGTACTAGAACTTATTCACACGTTATTAGAAAGAGCAGTAAGAAAAATTCTTACAAAATGTTATTTAAGAAAATTAAACATTATTTTTATATTTTCAATGTATATTATAACGAAAAAAATCAGTATGTACGAATAAAAGAAGAAAAAGCAGTATTTCAAATTACAGCTTTATTCCTTTTTATGTTACTGCAGAAACTAAAAGAAACAAGGTAAATTTTCTACAAGTGTCAACAACATGTCATAAATATTACAGGAATTTTTTTATATAATAAATTTTTTTAAACATACTAGTTTTCGTAACCACATGGCAATACTATCATATGTTAAAAATTTCTCATGAAATTAATTTTATATTATAGCCATTCATATATTTTTGAAAAAACTTTCTCTTGAATAATAATATGAAAAAAAATAACTCATAATAATAAAAATCCAAATAAACTTATTTACTAATGATTATATGATTTTATATATTCATATTTATGATGTTAATTAATTTGAAGTTAACTAATTTGTTATTTTATTATGAAGAGTAAGAAGAAATCATTGCGGTAATTTCAAGCAATTCGCATCAATTCGTTATTACAAACCCATATTCTTGTAGTATACAACATCATTATTATTTCAACCAAAATACGAACTTTTTCAACGATTTCGGAAAATTGATTAAAAACGCACTTAACATGAAGGACGCGGCAACATAATATTCGATAAAATATACAGTGTTATCTTTCATGGATAACCAGATTTTTTGGGACTACATTGTCTTCTCCAATTAAAACCTACTGATAAAATCTACACCTGAAATATATTTTTACTTCACTTGTTTTCTTTCAACGCGATCATATGGATAAGGTTAATATCAATTGCGGAACATAGCAAAATTCACATATGAAATTATTTTACCCCTTTCTTTGTTCTTTATAATTGTTTCCAAAACGTTACTATACGAAACAAAACGAAGAGATATATTACAATTCTTCGAGCACGTACAATGAAATACTGGATGAGAAATGTTAATCCTATACCGACACATGAAAGAGATTCGGCATGATTTCTTTTCTTTGAGACTGATTAAAATTCGGCATATATCTAGAAAAACAGAAATATATTTCGGTCTCTACATACGATATAATAATCAAATTTAAATATTTTTCCACGTAAAACCAAACAAAAACATGTTGAATGGCTCAGACTTACCAATATTGCTTATAATTGATAATGGAAATACTTATACACCAGTTATCATGATTGGCGAAAAAGCAAGCGATATTATTAAAGAAATATTAACAAAAAAAAAAAAATATGAATAGTTTTAATTCTCTTGGAAAATTATTACTTATAATGTACATTAATTGAATTATACACAATCTAATATATAACATTAATATGTATTATTACGATACACTCAGGATTAGTTTACAAATAGAGATTTGAATGTATTAAACTTGATACGTTTTTTTTGTTTTTCGGTGAAATAAATCAAATGATATTCTTAGATATGATCCTATTTATAAATGAAGAATGAAGTATAATAATAAGTCTTATTAAGAGTACAACTGTTAACTAGCGTCTTAGAAACATTTAAGATAACGTATTAATTATACAGGCTCACTTATGGATAAAATCAGCAAAACTGATGGCAATGTAACTTTTTCATTAAATTTTTTCATCGTATTACACTGTTACATATATTTGTTTACAGTTCACTGTTGAAATAGCTATCTCTTAAAAATGCAGCAAACAAGTAACAGCACATACAATTATTTAACCATTCCAGAGTAACTATCTAGACATACCTACGACCAATAAAGTTATTCTTTACCATATTCCTTTCCTTTTTTCATTGTCTTTGATTATTCCAATCGTTTTATCGAATAGTCAGATAAAACGAAAAACTTTTTACCAGCGTAGCTAGTAGCGTCATTAACGAAATATTATTTCCGAAAACTTGTAATACGTAACGCTACTCACAAATATATTATATATTGTATTATCTATAATATTGTTATATAACATTTCGACTAAAATTAATAAATCGGTCAACCTCACATTGCTATTGATAAAAATTAGACCGCTTCGATTAATTTCGATTCAATTATGGTTTATAATAAATTTAACAAAATCTTGGGTAAAACGTGCGAAAATAATGATAGCAGAAACGTATCAAGTTTTCGTGTGACTAATCGTTTGCTAAACCTTAAAAAAAACTAAACAAATTATTACGAAGAAAGGAAACGTGTAATACGACGTGAAAACGTAAACATGAGAAAACCTACAACCGAACCCCCATTTCTATTGATACTCAATAAATGTATACTGAATATTCGCGAATGATGATAAATAAGAAGAATTTGGATATCATAAAAAAAGAGTTGTATATATAAATGAAAAAGAAACGATCATATCTTCAAAAACTATCATGAATCTCTGGAACTGGTCATCAAGATTTTTAATCTACTGTATAACGTGTCAAAGTAATCATCGAAATATGCATGATTAAATCCGAATCTCAGACATTTTAAATTATCATTGCAATGTTTCCATTTGTGTAAGCGCTGGGTAAATTTAATTAGTTGTGTTTAAATGAGATCAGTCGTTCGACAGTTAAACAAGAATATGATATGCTATTGGTGAACTTAGCTTATTTGTGAAAGGAAGAGACATAACTGAAATATTGAGAGTGGGAATGAAATGGAAATATAATTTAGGTGAGATAAGCAATGCATTTTAAATTTCCAAAACCATATGCGTGAGTGAGGAGTGGGGATAAAAATATCAACAGAAAAGACGGGAAAAAAGGAAGATAAAGATTAGTCATCAGTAGACCAAAAAGAGAGTACAAAAAGCAGAAGGCGACCTTAATTAACTGACCTCAGTGTACAGAGTAAAGTGCAAAGATTTATATCATTATAATATCTAATTAGTAAAATCCCTATTAACCATAAAAGCGATTCGAATTTCACTGGACTACATCTTACAGATAGAATTACAAAAAATATTGTACAATAATGTTCTGCACTGCCATTTCCGATAGATCACAGAAGAGTCGTCCAGCAAACTGAAAGGTGCCTCAGTGTGATCATTACGAATTCGAAAAGTCAGTTTGGCAACAAAATTTAGCACTAATTATTTTATATGATCTAATAGGTGAGTAAAGTCACAACTTCCGTAATACAAGTTGCTTACTCTGAACTCTTTAATGTCACGGACAAATGGAGTTATTATCCTAGTCAGTATAACACATATCTTCCTGAATGAGATAACGGTACGACTTGATACACTTTTATTATCAATTATTTCTTCGTTCTTGCAATTTTATCCAGTTAGAAAAAAGTACATGTACTCTTCGCATCATATTGATTTCTTAATCTCCAGGATAATCTTGTTCAGTAATGATAATTCGTCCGTGAGCTAGGAAAGTCCTGAGAGAATCCATGTCCTTTACTTGTTATTGGACTTGTTATCAACAGTTGTATGAATGATTATAATTATTACCAGATTCTTTTTTTAGTTGATTGAAATAAAAAATAGAAGAAACAATCATAATTACAAGAAGTAATCACTACTTATAGCCTAAAAGATAGTCTAGAACAATAAGCAGTCTCGCGTAAGATACTGAAACAACAAATAACTATAAACAAATCCCACAGCTCCGGAAAAAGTCAATTACGATTTAAAAAATATAGATATAAATTTGTACACAATATTGAGACTTAGCTTCCTTATCAACAAAACTATAAGTCACATGAAATTGAGAATTCCAAAGAATGGATCATCTTTTACAGATGTAATTAGTCATTATGTTTGATTCACATACACAAAAGTAAAATGATACACGCATAAACTCGAATTCTTCCCCACGCAATCAGTTTAATCAAAATTCATTTCGATCATGATTATCTTTCATCACTAAAATATCACTATTCTGCATTGATACAAACGTTGATACATTGAAGAAATACTAAACGATATATAAAATCCAATAGATTTTGTATTCCATTAATAAAATCTTATACATACCAAAAGAAAATAGCATTATCCTTCGAAGAAAATACCACAGATATCCACAAAGCTTTATAATTTTTTGAATTTCAATATTTCAGATTTCATTTCGACTAATTGTTGCAAGTGCGTTCCGATGTCCAACAAGAGATATCATTATTATGCAGAAAAAAAATAAATAAAAATATTGTCACGTATTGGACGTAACTACGAAATGCTAATTCGAATATTTGAGAAATACATGAATTGAAAAAATAATTAGGGATATTTATGGATGAATGATAATCTTGTTTGATTACGCAAGCTTGATCTTTCGAACTTATAAAAAAGAAGGAGAACAAACTATTAAAAGTTGTATATGATTTCACTGAACGTTCTTGACTGATCAGTGTTACAGTATATAAACAACAGTTTCGCTTTCATCAAAGAAGAAAAAAAGGCCTAGCTAATTCAAAGTCACGATCAATAATGACGAACCATATGGCAACTGCAGCAGCAGCGATACGAACGAGTATGACTGCACTCGGTATCGCAAAACTGAATATCATACCGTTTCTAATATCTGTCTTAATTTATTTCAATTATTATCTAATGGATACTGTAAATCAACCAAAAGTCATGAAAAATCTATTAAAGGAATACGATTTCGTAGTGGTCGGTGGTGGTTCAGCTGGTAGCGTTGTTGTTAATAGATTAACGGAGAATCCAGAATGGAGTGTTCTTCTTTTAGAAGCAGGTGGTTTCGAAAACAAGATTACGGACGTACCGATGTTCTCTACCTATTTACAAAATACCAAAATAGATTGGAAATATAGGCCTGAAAACCAAGATAGTGCTTGTCAAGCGATGAAAGACAAACGTTGTTGTTGGCCCCGTGGAAAGGTGAGCTCTTTGATTCATCTGTGCCGTAAGATGAAGAATTTAATAACAATATCAATTATTTTATAATTACATTGCTGGTATGTTAAGTTATTGTGCGTCGTAATACAAAAAGTTTCGAGTATACGAAAAATACAATCAGTTTAAAGAGAAAATAATACTTTAATGATGAACAAAATTTTCAAATACTTTCGTAAATAAGGTCGTTTTCAAAGGAGAATAAATGGATGGTTACTAATATAACATAACGGAATAAAAAAAAGTATCAGATAATTGAAGATACCAGAATGAAATGAATTTGCATTAAACTTATTATATATAATCTTCTAATGTCTATAAATCATAATGCGGTAGATATGCTATTAATGCATTCATTGATCAAACGAAACATCCATGTTGGATCCTTTGAATTAAACAGCTACCTGAACACGATTTATAACTATCAATACCTACAATTCTCAGGGTTCTACTATTAAAATGAATATAGACTTTGATTTGACACAGGACAACCTTGTCGGTCCTCAGCGAAAGGATTTAAAATGATATAGTAGAACAGGCCGCGAATATATCAATAACAAAAGCAATCATAAGCCACTGAAACAACTTTGCTTATATTTGTAAAAATAACTTAATATTATTACATCATAATATTATTCCCTTGATTCTAGGTATTAGGTGGTTCAAGTGTAATTAATTTTATGCTGTATATTCGTGGGAATCGTCGTGATTACTATCAATGGGAAAGCTTTGGTAACCCTGGTTGGGGATACGACGATGTACTCCCATACTTTAAAAAGTCACAAAACCAAACAAACTCATATTTGGCGCGGAACACCAAATACCATAACACAGGTAGGACAGGATTTTGATTGTTCATAAAATTCGAAAAATTGAAATGCTTGATTGTTTGAGATAACAAGACATTACACGTGATATTGAGTCATTCATTCATTCTCATGCAAAAATGGATTTTATAGGTGGTTATTTAACTATTCAAGAGTCTCCTTATAATACACCACTGCGTCCAGCATATTTTCAAGCTGCAGAAGAGATGGGTTATAACATCGTGGATATAAATGGCCAACAACAAACGGGCTTTGCATTGCCTCAATATACAATGCGCAGGGGCGCTAGATGTAGTGCAGCCAAGGCATTCGTACGTCCCATCAAATTACGAAAGAATTTTCACCTATCGTTATGGAGTCATGTTACGCGTATTCTCATAGATCCAAGTACCAAACGAGCATATGGTGTAGAATTTATTAGGAATGGTCGTGTTGAGACCGTATTTGCAAAGAAAGAAGTTATACTTTCGGCAGGTGCTATAAATACTCCTCAATTATTGATGCTGTCTGGAATCGGTGCAAAGAATCACCTCGAAGATCTTGATATTCCAGTGATTCAGGATTCACCTGGTGTTGGACAGAACCTTCAAGATCATATATCCATTATTGGTCTAACCTTCCTTATCGACCACGAGATCAGCCTTGTTTATAATCACATATTAAATATAAACTCAATATTGAAATATGAAATTACCGAAAACGGTCCACTAACTTCGAGTATTGGTATCGATGCAGTAGGCTTTCTATCCACCAAATATGCCAATCTGACGGACAATTGGCCCGATGTAGAATTAGTGATTTCCTCTGCCTCGGTTAGTACCATGGGAGAACTATTTAAAGATTCTTTATGTCTAACGGATAATTTTAACAATGAAATGTATGGAGAGATCATTAATCATGATAGTTTTAACATTTTACCAATAATACTCAGACCTAAATCTCGTGGAAATGTGAAATTAAGGTCGAAAAATCCACTCGATTATCCATTAATATATCACAATTATTTAACGCATCCTGAAGACGTAAATGTTTTACGAGAAGGAATCAAAGCAGCAATTGCATTTGCTGAAACGAGTAGCATGAAAAGATTCGGGACAAGATTTTACAGTAAGCCATTGCCAAATTGTAAACATCTTCCTATGTTCACGGACGAGTACTGGGAATGTGCAATTCGTCAAGTTACCATGCCAAGTTATCACATGAGCTGCACTGCGAAAATGGGTCCACGATCCGATCCAATGGCGGTCGTAGATCCCTCTTTAAAAGTATATGGAGTAAAAGGACTTCGAGTGATCGATGCTTCGATCATGCCTACGATCACTAGTGGAAATATCAATGCACCTGTGATAATGATTGGTGAAAAAGGTTCGGATCTCATAAAGGAGGATTGGATGTCTAGACGAGAGAGAAGCAATGAGACTATCTCAGGTTCTTTCAATCAATATTAGATATTTTGGATAGTTCATCGAATGAAAGTAATTCATACATTTTTCAAATACGTAGTATAAAATAATTGTGTACTATTAAAAATTCTAGAAACTTGCTTTTTAAAAATATATATATATATATATATATATATATATATATATATATATATATATATTTAAAGTATGCGCTGAAATAAGACTAGTTTTCCATCATTTATTAATAGTAAACGAATTAATTGCATATTGTTATATAAGTTCCAAATAATTCAATGTAAGAAATATGATTCGCCATTATTTTAGAGGATTAAGCCCGCCATTTTTATTTTAAAAAAGTTTAGAATAACGTTATTGTTATGAATGAACTTAGCGGGAGCTTTTTGTTCGCAAACAAACGATCCAATTAAGATCTATGCAAATTATTTTGTTATAAATCGGACAGAAAGATACTTCTAAAGTTTCTTGATTTTTTTAGGTCATTGGTGATGTTCAAAACTTTCCAAAACAATGAAATAACCTTACGTCATTACGATATACAATTGTCATAACACTAAGCCCCATTCTATGGAATATTAGGATTGTAATTTAAATAAAACAACAGAAACACTTTATTATTCGATTGAAACAGCTATGCTGAGTCATTTTGGTGATTTTACAGCAGTCGTCCATCCTCGTCTTAAGGTATAAGGCATTTAAAGATTAAGAATCTTCGATACTTCTACAATATCGCAAATTATCGGTGGAAATACAAACGCATCAATGTTGATTATAGCCGAGAAAGGAGCAGATATGATAAAAACGAATTGGCTCGGAAAGAATGAGCTAAAAAAAAATAATTGAAAGTCGTAAAGTAAACTTTATGTTCTTATAAGCCACGATGCTTCCTTAATTGGAAGCTTCTTTTTCTTTTATAACGTAAAAAAAGAAACAAATCGTTTTTATCGTAATATTAAAAAATATTCTTTGAATTGTTTTTTGGTATATGGGATCATTATAAATATATGGGATCGATATAAATAATTTATATTCGATTATATAAATATTACGTCGCGGGTTATAGATTGAGCCTTCAAAGTTTCACCGGAGTATATATTGTTGCCTATTCGTAGGCGTTCCTATATAGTTTATATTTACATTGATTTTGATATCTTTATAATGAAAAATTATACGCATCGAGTACTATATACAATTGAGATAGAAAATATTTTCATTATTTCATATACTAAAATGGATAAAAAATAACGATCTTCCCAATTGTACATATTACGTATTGTATCTGTGTGTTATATAAAATTCACATAATAAACTGCTTGCTTCATAATCGCATGATTTTATCCTAGTTCCCAACGATAATTCACTTAATAAGAAAACTATTAAAATAATGTTAATGGATGAGTACACACATACACTATATTGATATAAATTATAATTATGAATGAATGCTAATTTTCTGACTATGTATTCTATTGAGTTAAATATGTATTTATGTTAAATTATTTAAATATTAACAAATGTCCCTGTATATAACTAATAAGTATATAACTAATAATAATTTGTAACCTCTGATGAAAGAGGTAAAGAGCAAAGAACAGAAATGATCGATTAAGTCCAATGCGAGTACATATGTTTGTTGATTTCGAAACTAACTATGAAAGAGAAATTATTTGTAAGAAATACGTAAAAAACAAGTTTTATCTTGACATACATAATGGAAATTGATTAACGTTTTATGTAGAATAAACTGATAAAATTTATATTAACCTACATTACGTGAAAAAAAAGATCATACTTATTATGGACGATTTAAGTTATTTTATTTTTTAACAGTCATTTCATCATTATACATATTAATAAATAACAACTCTAAATAAAAACGATTAGATAGTTCTATATTAATCATTATAAATTTAAAATAGATCTAAAATGTCGATTCATATGATAATTACAACTCTTAAGTTCTAAACAAAAATTGTTATAAATGTCGATAAGATATGCATTTTGATAATACGGTAAGAGAATAAATTTCTCGTCTGACCTAAAATCTAAATATACGAACATTGGCGAAATCTTATAAAATACCAAGTAGAATGGAGACTTTCTTTTCACTTAAGTGAGCAAATGTCATTATCGTGCGATTTTTACCGGCAAGGAATATTTCAAGTTTGTTATGAAATCATTGCAAATGGATTAAACGTAAAAGTAAAAGTAAAAAGACTCTAGAAAAAAAAAATATAATAAAAAATCATTATGAATAATTATGCACCTTGATCTATATCACAATTACCATGCCAAGCCTATGTATTAATGAGCAGCTAGAGGGTTAGAGGCAAAGAATAAATATATACTAAAAGGCTCGTGATAGGCTTAATAAGAAAGAATTTAAAAATGGTGGCTAAAGTAATTTCGTCATATTAAGGTGGTGGTAGTCAAGGTTTATATGTTTCATCGCCACATTCGAACTTTCAGTCTATCGCTTTCTCTGACACAGTGAGCTACACGATCCGTCTCAGAATGAATGTATGTGAAACTATACTAATAAATATCGCGTTTACAATTAATTGATTTACAATTACGGAAAAATAATGTCGAGACATATCGATAAATGACGTACATTGTGATATTTCTAACGAAGACATTTTGGGAAGGCACTGTTTATGTTCTAATTTTTAAGTGATCGCTATAACATAAAGCAAACGTATTATTGGTGAGTATTCTTTTTCGAAAGGAAAAGCACGAAGTAGAATCAATTATACTACATTACATCGGTCACCACTTACGTTCACTTAAAGAAATTACGCAATACTTCGGTGTTCTGAAATTGCATTAGATGCCATTTAGCAGCTCTAACTACGAAATCGCAAGTTAGATACTATGAAATTTACTACTTGACAAGGGAACATCCCAAAACGGGAAATTCAAACCTTTGTCAATATTTAAGCATATTACCTTTTAAATGTAATTTTATTTCTTTGCTGTTCCTTTTCATTCATACAGTCCGAAAATCATCCTTAGAATTACATCCTTTTTTTCGTAATTCTTTTGCTTTTTTCCAAAATCATCACAAATATATTGAATAAATTCATCAAGAAAAATTATACGTTTGAATGCGCCTACAATGAAAAAAAAGAAACATTTTTTAAACAATTACAAAAAATTACAAAAACAAGTACAAAAATTGTTAAAATATATGGAAATTTTTTATACAAATAAAGAATATTTTACATTTGCTACTAGCGCTTGCAATATATCAAGTAATATATCAATGGGTGTTGGTTTTTCTTTTTGATTTCAACTTTCCAATTGAAATTGCAACAAAGAATCTAGTTGATTTCATTTTGTTAGCATATTTCAAGCCAATTACATTTACTTAATGTAAAGAATAAATATGATTACGTGTAGACATAGCCAACATATTGACAAAATCCCCGTGAAATTTGCAGAATATTTTATTGATGATATTAACAATCTAATAATATATATATCTATAATAACTTTACGACGTAATCAATATTAAAATACTCTACAATATAAGATAAGATATATTCTATATTCTCATGTAATTTCACTTCTCACTATTTTCTCGCGCAAACCTTGCATCTTTTTTGAGTTCCTAAAATCTGAGAAATAGAAATACTATTTTTTACTATATGTCAAAATTTGTTGTTTGACGTCGCTTTCAAAAATATAAAATTTATCAAATTTCTCATAAACAATTAAATTTCTGCAGCGAGTCGGTGATCTTTAAGAATATTTATTTAAAATACATATACCTATGTTTAAAAATAGATTCATAAAGAGGATCAAAATAATTTGTAATTCGTCCTAATAATTACTCTATTTTAGTAGATCATATTTTCAGAATTATTTTCTGATATTTATTGAAAAATATAAATGAATAATTTTGTAAAATGGTTTTCATATTTTTGTCTTGTTTTTTGTATAAAATTTATATATATTACAAACCTACGAAATAGTTTTTGATCCCTCATAGAATATTAAAAATATTATTCACCTACTATTTTTTACTTTCATTCAGATTTGAGAAGTATACCATAAAATTTCTGTATAGTTTAAATATAGTTTTAAAAATTAGATATATTTCAAAGCTTATACGTTCTATAAAAATTAAACATTACACAGCACTCTTATATGATTGCAAGACGTACAATACAAAAAATATATCTTTCATATTTATGAACAAAAAAATAAGGAATTTTTTTCAAAAACTATGAGCAAAAATAAATTCAGTAAAAATTGTTGGTTTACTCGTTTTCATAAGAAAAGTCAAAAAAGTCAACAATTGCAAACAGACATCTGTTTCAAAAATATATAAAAAATTAACTGAAAACAATCAAATGTGATATAAAATAGACACTGTCATTACGATTAATGAATTATTATATTTAACTAAATTCGAATGTGAATTTATACAATAAATAAACGTCAAATAAATCCGATAAGTTTAGCATCAAAATTTGGTGTTAAATATCAAAATTAAATATTACAGATTTAATTACTGTTTAAGAAAAATGAAAGTCAATAAATCATTTAAATTTTATTTATTTAATTAAATAAGCCACGATGATGTGCTATACGTTGTTATAATCAAGTAACTACACTAATTACATACTTATCAGTCATCACTAAAGTATCACGATATCCATATTTGTTTACATATGATACGAAAATAATACATAAAAAATAAAAAAAAATTCTTAAAATCCGAAGAAAACAGAATTACGAAAAAAGGATGTTTCAGACAAAGTTAAATTTAAAATATGTAACAAATAAAAATAACATTTCACTTAGAAAACAATAATCTAAGCTAAAATATATATATAATTTGTTGAATTTCAGTATACCAGATCTTATCCCATCAACTTGTTTCAAATAAGTTACAATATTCTGCTAGAATATCGTTACGAGAGTATCGTTATTAAGGAGAAAAGGAAATCAATGAAAATGTTCTCGTTGAATGTAATGACGAAATATTTTTCGAATACTTAAGAAATATATGGTCTTGAAAAAATAATTACGGTTAATTAAGAATAAAAGTAACTTCAACAAAAATCGAATATGATAGTA